GGAGGGGCAAAAGAGCCCGCCTGGAAAAAAACCCTTTTTTCCCCTCAGCAGAAAAGCCGTGGCAGAAGAAGAGCGGATGACTGGAGAGGGGGAATAGAAGAATCGAGAGGCGCAAGGATTCCGAGAGATATGCAGTGGCCGGGGCGTGATTCCACAACCCAAACTCGCGATGGACTTCCAACATATTATCGATTCACCCCGCTGCCAAACTTACTCCCTACAACGTCAGGGGACGATGGTGCACTGGACTTGGCGATTGCCTCTTTTTCCATTTTTTCTAATAGGTAGCACTACTAACGAAGTGGCAAACAAGGGTAGTTGAATTGGTTAAACCCAAAGATCCCTGTCGTGGTGGGCAACCACGGGGGTCGGTGGGTGGAAAGAAAAAACTCAAAAGTTGTGTGAGAACTTTGATTCTGCAAGTCCCAAAGATAAGGCGAAGGAGACGAGCGAGGGAGAGTAGTAGAGGTAGAAATCATGTCATCAGCAAACGTCGGAGCCATTGTTCCTCATCCTCCTCGTATCATTCTTACTCTTTTCATCATTCCATTCTTTTCGTAAACCAACAAAAACCAATCAGGCTGGCCATATGGGCGGCTTTGATGCTCAGTGGGGTTCGGCGTACCGAGCCGCGGGGTGTTCCAGCGGCAAGCCAAGCTCGTTCAGCCGCTCCGCCCACAGCCGCCACAGCAAGGCGCAGACCTTGAGCGTGTCTAGGCTTGGGGGCAGCTCGGTAATGAGAAGGTGCTCGGTTTTCCGCACGACGTCCGTGCATGGTGCGTCCTGCGCTGCGTCCACCCCGGCCCTTTCTCTCTCCGCGGCGGCCTTCCGCGGCGGCTTCACCACCACCTCGTGTAGGCCGACAAACTGTATTACCGTGCTCCGTCGAACCGTGAACACCTGCAGCGCTGTTGGCGCGACCACGGCGCTGGGGACGCCCTGCACGAAGGGTGGCGCGCGGTCCTTCTGCTCCAGGAAAATCGATGGCAAAAAGGACGCCATGTCAGTGAAAAGAACGCGCTCTTTAATGAACTCCATCCCCTCCGCAGCCGGCTCGGCGTCGCTCGATGCCAGGCCTGTTTCAGCGCGTTCTGCACCGGCGTTGGCGGCTGCTGGCACCGCCGCGGCGCAGAAGTAAAGACCACAGTTTGTCGCATACAGCGTCCCGAAAACGAGTTCTCCGTTGCTGACGATGAAGCAGTGGCAGCTGACCATCACGACGTTGCTCTCCTCGGCCGGGTTCAGCTCCAGTTGACGCGAAAAGGCGGCAAGGAAGTCTTCTTGCCGCGCTTTGAGAAGATGGGCTGCGCTGTAGTCAGTCACGTGCCGCCACGCACGAGCGAGCCATCCGCCGGCGTCGGCCCGGCTCTCCGTACTGGAGCCGTTCGCGTTGACCTTGCCGGCTGCCAGAAGCAGCAGGGCCTCGAAGATGCCCTCGGTACTGTCGCTCGGGTACGGCGCCGTCACGTAGGTGAGAGCAGCGGCACGCACGTACACGGGTGATGGCGGTGCTGCGACGTGCGGCGCCGAGGTCGTCGGCTGCGGCGATGCCCTGGGCGGGGGAGGTGGCGGTGCCGTTTGCTTCCCCCGAAACGGAGAGAACCCGAACATGCCGACTTCAAGCTGCCGCTGAGTTCAGCGCCAGATCCACTGCCGCGACAAAAGAACGACAAAAAAATAGATGAATATGTATCTGTCTTGTGTCACCAGTCTTCTATGCCGAAATGGTGCGCGTTCACTCAAAGGTAAGCGCTGCAGAGAACGTTTCATGCAGAACGACCTTGGAAAAGCAAAAACAGCAAATTCCAAGAAGGAATGGCGAGTAGCAAGGAGGGAAGCAAACGGAAAGATATAAGGAGTGCACAGGACCGAAGCGGCGAATCCACACCTAAGAGTCGCGGCGTGCCGATAGCGCTCTACAACCGTGGGGAGGAGAAAAAAAACAACAACAACAGCGAAGAAGGCACATAATTGCGCGTGCTCGTGGCCGTGGGCGAGAAGGTGTCCACCACGACTCGCTGGTAGATCGATTGATTGGACCGTGCGGCATAACTCATTCCATCCCCCTTTTCCTTGGCGTAGAGCCGTGCATGGTGCTCACTACCCGCGAGATGCATAAAGCAAACAAACGCGGCTTCATTCCTTTTAATTTGTTTCTCTCCTTCATTATCCATTTTCGAACCCACGTTGAACCGCCGCCATCGGCGTACAGCTACGCACTTCAGCGAAAGCAACTTAGCGAAGACGCGTACCCAACAAAAAACACACTCACAAGAAGAAACCAAAGCTTGCGTTTCCGCTTCGCCACATTTAACGGTTGGTCGATAGAAGGAGAGCAGGCGAGAGCGTGTGGGGGCGTTATTATTCCATGCTTCTTGCAGAAAACCAACGCAGGGAGAGAGAGCACAGGGGCTATCGCGAGTACCCGACCCAATTCACCGTGGCCAACGACGCAATCGAAACCAGCTTGCTCCAGTGTATGTGTAAAGAGAGCATAGCACGAATAATAGAGAAAAGAAAAACTGTCAACAACCAGAACAGAAGCACCAACACAGTTGCAGCCCAAGCACGTAGCGTAGAAAGTAGAAAGAAAAGAAGAAGAGGAAAACACACAACCAAGCACACACCTTCACACTCTCCTACGCGTTGAGCTCGTACGTAACCCTTTAAAACAGGCCAGCCGACTCCTTGGCGCGCGACATGGACTGGTACGTGATGACGGGCTGCGCACCGCTCTGCTTCTCTGCGGCCATCTCCAACAGCAGCATCAGCTGCTTCATCGGCAGCTCCTGCGGGAAGAGGTTCACGCAGCTGTTCATATCCTGCTGCGAGGCAAACACGAGCCCGAGCGCCGCACACACCTTTGGAATGGCAGTGGCGGGGATGGTCGGCAAGTGCAGCTTCACCGAGAAGCACGCGTTCAGCTCCAGGCTGTCCATGATGTCGAACTGCGCGGTGGTGCCCACCACCAGCAGCTTCTTCCCCTCCGGTGGCGGACGCTTGATCAGGACCAACAGCGCCTGCAGCAGCGTGTTGCTGTAGCGGCCTCCAAGCTGAGAGAAGTCAATAAGCCGCTCGAGATCGTCCAAGATGATGCAGCTCGACGGGGACTTGTAGGCGTCCTCGAAGGCTTTCCGTAGAATGTTCACGCGCTGCATCTCGCCGTAGCCGACCATGTCTTCCGCCGACACCACCTTCACATAAGGGAAGTCCGCGAGCTCCGCGAGGTAGGCGCTGATGGCGGACTTGCCGCTGCCCGGCGCACCGTCGATGAGCACCGACAGCAAGTCCAGTCGCTTGCCGGCGGCGTTGAGCTGGTCGGTGTAGCGCTGACAGCGCGCCCGCACGACGTCCCAGATGTCGCCGTAGTCGATGATGCCACCACGGCGCAGGTTCGCACACTCCTCCTTTGCCTGTCCAAAGGCCGGGGTGACCTCCTCCACGGCCTTTAGAAAGTCCTCACGTGTGACGAGGACGCTGGCGTCGTCGACCATCTTCTCCGGGTGGTCGAGGTCGATGTGGCGGTTGAAGGCGTTCGACGTGGCATCGCGCACCACGCCCTCAATCTCCGCACCCGAGTAGTTCTTCGTCATCTTCGCCAGCTCCTCCAGGCTCACGTCGGTGGCCATGATGTTGTTCTCCCGCATGCCACGGGTGTGAATGCGGAAGATCTCAACGCGGCCGTCCTCGTCTGGCAGCCCGATCTCGACGTGCACCTCGAAACGACCCGGTCGCAGGATGGCCTCGTCGATCAGATCCAGGCGGTTCGTCATGCCGATCAACAAGACATTGTTCAGCGAGTTCACGCCGTCGATCTTGGAGAGGAGCTGGTTCACCACGTTGTCGTTCACACCCGTGGAGTCGCGGACGGCGCCGCGCTGCTTGCATATCGCGTCGAACTCGTCAAAGATGATGAGGTGCAGACGGGACTGGTCGCCCTTCTCCGTCTGCTCCTTCTCTGCATCCACAAAGAGCTTGCGGACGTTCTCCTCCGTCCCGCCAACAAACTTGTTGAACACCTCCGGCCCGTTCACGATCTTCGGCTCGTGACAGTTCAGAATCTCGCCGATCTTGCGCGCAATCAGCGTCTTACCGGTGCCCGGAGGACCAAACAGCAGCACACCCTTCACGTGCTTCAGACCGAGCTTCTTGATGAAGGAGGGCTTCAGCATTCGACTGGCAAAGGCACGGCGAAAGACCTGTCCAAACTCGGCGCGCAAGCCGCCAATGCCGAGGTTTTCGAGGTTGAAGTTGCGGACCAGCTGGGGCTGCTGCGCATCCATCTGCGCCTCCGACACGTTCGTCAGGGAAATCCCACTCGACTCGTTCGTCGTGACCAGCACCTGCGTCGTGCCACGCACAAAGCGGCCCAAGTCCGCCTCCTTCAGCGCTGCCGGTGTCGCGTCCTTCGACTCCACCAGCTCAGTCGCCAGCACCGTCGCCCGCATCCGCTCGCCAGTGTCCATCACCACTGCCAGCTGCTGCATCAGACGGAAGCACTGCCCTGAAAACATCTTCTCCATAAACGCGATGCAGGCCTGGCAATCCAGCACGATGGTCTGGCGAGCGCTGATCAGCTCCACCTGAATTTTCAGTATGTGAATGTCAGGAACGGGCGTGGTGAGGGGCTTGAGCTCGACGGTGCTGCGCGCACCGGTCGACACGCCGAGCAAACGGCGCTGGATGCTATTAAAGCCGATGGAACCAAGTTCAATCGCACCGCTGCGACGTGCCGTGAAAGGGAAGTCTTGGATCTTCACCAGGACAGACGCGTCCGCCGCCGTGGCCTGCGGGTCCGCGATCGCCGCAAAGTCCTGCGCGTTCATGAAAATGCAGTTTGTTTTGGTGTCGTTGTCCGTAGGGACCGAACAGACGTTGAAGTACTTGCTCATTCTCGGAGACGCCGGGGCGGCGGGGGCGGGGGGAATGGTTCGGCAGCTCGAGGTGGATGAAGACAGCGCAACGACGCCAGGGGGTATGTGACTTGACGATCGAATTCACAGCCGAGGTTGGAACGGAAAGGGGAGGCGGGGTATATATGAGCGGAAGAAACACAGATTACCTGCACTTTCTCTACCTTTACGGACGAATGAAGCTAGTGAAATGCTGCAATGCAGATGGTGACCGAATGCCGTGCATGCATGCACCTGATCCCATCCACGCAAAAACAGTCGATGATGCGACAAGCGATGGCCGAGACAGTCCGCAGAAACAAACACAGACACACACACACACACACCAACAAACAATCAAGACACAGGTAAAGAGAGAGAGAGAGAGAGAGCATCAGGAAGAGATGGAAAGAGGGAAGGAGAGCCCGCGTGAGAGAGTGAACAGAGTGAAGGCATCATCAAGGAAATGAGTGACTCTCCTCACAATATCACAAGATGCATCCTGGCCATTGCTGCGTTGAACACGCGTTACGCTCTACGAACATCAAAAATTCTAGTTAACATGGACTCACAAGGAGCTCTACTTCTAGTGGTTCAGCACATGCCACCGCATACACTATTCGTATCATCTTGTTATTCCGAAGGGCGAATATCCAAATTACACACCTCAACTGCGCGGAAAATAAAGACGCGACAGACCTTCCCACAAAGATCCACCATGCGTCCACATCGCATCACAGCAAAGCGCAGCGCAGCGGGGGCGGGCCATCAGTGAGGAAGCAAAAGGTGTAAGGGTCGTCACGAGGAAGAGTCAGACGAGTTGTTCGTCGTAAACCTGAGTCATCACGCAGCCGCGCAGCACACACCGCACGCACACACACCCACACACATACACGCACAGTCCCTCTGCCTTGGTATTAGGTTCGACGGCAACAATGATGTCACTCACCGCAGTGCGAATGCGGGTCCGTGGAGAGATGCCACAATCTTCATGGGGACGTCGTCGCGGCGGCCGAGGCAGCCGACGCAGCTCGCAGTCGTCAGCACACCACCACCACCACCACCACCACAACAACAACAACAAACACCAGCACAGACACAGATGCAGCCACGCAGCGCGGCGCTTCATTGCAGAGTTGAAGTGTTGTCGACTCGCGGCCACGGCGTGCGCGGCTCGGACTCATTACATCAGATACTTTTGGTTTGGGAATCAGAAGCGGCGCGGGGCAGCGGACACGAAACTGAAGAGAAGCAACGAAAACGAGTAGTAGCGCCGGCACTGAATGCGCTAGGGGTTATGGGGTAAAGAGAACGATGAATCCCCGGAGGTGAACAAGCAGCCTACGACTATAATGAAGCAAACGAGGCGAAGGAGGAGTGGAGGCGGGAGTAGGACGATAAATAGCTCTCTGTTACACGGATGTGAATCTGCCGGATGTCACCGAGTGCTAGGAGACCTAACGCTACGGACATCGCCGTGTTCCGGCTCCTTTTGCGGGTATTACGGGCACCTTCCATTAGGTTAGAAAGGTGCTAAAATAAAGAACAGACGAAGGTCAGTGGCACTGGGGATTGCGACGACAGTCAGCGGAGGTAAGCGTTGTTTGTCGTTCAAGCATACGGGTTATCAACGAAGGAAAAATAGACGCAAACCAGAAAAAATAAGAAAGGCATCAAAAGAGCAGATGAAAGCACGCGATCAAGGGGAGCGGTATTCACCAGCGCATACACACACGCACACGTGTACACACGAAGGCCTCTCCTGAAAGCTTTTCGGGCATGATAATAAAAAGAGTTCTTTTTTTGTCAGCTCTCCCCGGTGCTACGAAGCTGTTTCTTTTGTTCCTCCGCTAAAGCCGTGAGTTTCGCCTTCGCGTCCTCCAGCTGACTCTGGAAGCCCTTCGACTCCTTCAGCTTCTCCAGCGCCGTTGGCTTATCACCTGCGCGTAGGGCTGCCAGGGAGTCCTGCTTGCGCGCCGCCACCAACGCCTCCAGCTCCGCCACTTTCTTTTCTTGCTTCTGCATCTGAACGCGGAACGGCTCGGCGTGGCTGTCGAGCAGCTGCTTGATCTGTCCCTCCACTACCTTCGCTTGTTGAAGTTCCTGTAGCGCCGCCGCCTTGTCGTTGCGCTCGCGTAGGCACACAAGTGACGCCTGCTTGTGCTGCGCCACCTGCGCCTGCAGAGACTCAATCTGCTGCTGGAATTCCGCTTCGAGTTCTTCATCTAAGTCATTCAGCCCTTGCAGCAGCTCCGCGTCTTCGTAGTCCGAGCTGTGCACGGACACTTCTCCAGGGATCTCGTCCTCGTCATCGTCGTCGCCGGCGTTCATTGTCTTGTTGCCGCCGCCGCCGTGTTGCCGATCGTTTGTCGTTTTACGTGCCGCGCACGACGCGACGCCGCGATCGAACAGGGAGGATGGGTTGCCATCGTAGTTATCGAGCTCCTCCTCTACATCTGGGTTGTTCTGCATGAAGGCCTGGAAGACGGCGAGCTGGGCGCTGACTTGAGCCTGGGTGAGGGCTGCCTCCGCCTCCGCAGAGGCTTGGCGAAGGCGCAGCTCTTCCTCGTCTTCTTCCACATCGCCGTCGCCGCCGCCGCTACTCGTTTTCTTGTCCTTCTCCTCCTGCTTTTGCTGAGCGACGAGGGCGGCGTGCAGCGCTTCCTTCTTGCGCCTTCGCTCTGCTGCATTAGCCTCGCGCGTCAACGCGTTCGCCTCCCGCTTCGCCTGCCACTGCTCCTTCAGCGTGGGCTTGCCAGCGTGTTCCTCCTCGTGCGCTTCGAGCGCGGATGGGCTGCCTTGGGCTTGTGAGTCCGGTGATGCCTGCTTTGAGAGACGGGTGCGCCGCGCCGGGCGATCTGTGCGAGGGGTCCTCACTGGTGTGGAGCCGTCTTGACCCATTTCAGCGCTCTCCTTTCGCTCTACGCTGCTGTCGGTACACGAACAAGGCAGCAAATAAAATAGTTTTTTGTTTGTTTTGGAATCTTGTACTGCGGAGAGACGGCCTTTCGCAGACGACGCGCCCCCCCCAAAATGGCGCCAGCTGCGTGGGCGTGTGCGGGGCACCCAACCAAACAGAAAGGCCGGTAGAGGAGCAGCAAAGGAGGTAGATGCAGAAAGCGACGTCGTGGCGGAAGAGGAATACTAAGAATAATCACAATAGTAGTAGTAGTAGTAAATAGCAAATAACCAGGCGCTGGCAAAGGATGCGCAGGTAAGGTCATACATGACACGTTGTTGTTGAGCGGCCGCGCAGGAGCGAGTGTGAGGAGGGACGGCCACGGACAGCCCGGGAGGAAGAAGAGCTCAATAGTATCGCGACGTTATCCCTTTGCGTTACCGTGACGGTGTACTGCCAAATGGAAAAGACTCTGTTGCGAGAGAACAGAGTGACGGAGAAAGAAAAAAAAGAACTTGTGATGATCCAGCACGTAGAAACACACACACACACACACCATGCATGCGCCTCTTCCTTCGCTGCTGCTGTGTCGCCTACTCCGACGGCTTTGACTGCGCGGCGGCCCACGAGCTCAACACCGCATCGTAGCGCGAAGAAGTCACCACACCCAAACCGCCGTCCACCATTAACGATGCGTAGCGCGTGTCCGACTCTGGCGTGGGCAGCAGCGGCGTAAAGTTCACGGCGCGCCGCTGTTCTTCGGCTGCGGTGTAGCAGGCCTCTCGCGCCGGCACATCGGTGGGAAACGTGCGTGTGATCCAGTCTTCCGTCTTTGGAGTTGGGTGGATGGTGCTATCGTGTTCTGTAGAGGAAGGAGACGACACCGTTGAGCGTGTCGGTGCGGTCTTGAACAGAGGCGAGGTCAGCCCCACCAGCGTGAGCGCATCTGCGATGAAATTGGCCTTCACCCGCTGGTCAAAGAAGGAGTAGTGGGTGCTGAGGGAAGGGAGGATGTTAACCTCCAAGAGGACCGGCCGCAGAGTCGGCGACGCGCCGCTCTCCAGTCTTCTTTCGTCGCTCTCGTGGACTAATAAAACATCCACGCCGAAAAACTCAAAGAAGGGACCGATACCGCTGGCCGTACATGGCGGAGGGGGAGGATGCGGCAACGGCGACGTGTCGACACCGCCGGTTGCGCCTCGACCCGTGCTTTCATTCCTCACCGCACTGCCAGCCCGCTCACCTGCACGACGTGCTGCCGCGCGCAGCTCGGAGCGCACCTCCGGCGTGACGGAGAGAAACGTCCGGCGCAGTACCTCGTGGATGCGCGTCTGGGTGCTGGCCCAGTCGTAGCCTGTCTCTTGCATGTACACACCCAGCGCTTCCAACGGCCACTTTGTCTCCATCGCCGGTGGAGCCGCTGCCGCCTCCTCCGTGGTCCCCTCTTCTCCATCTCTAACTGCGTCATCGCTGCTGTTGCTGCGGTGGATCGGAGCAGCGAGGGAAAGCGTGGAGGCCGTTTGTTGTTTGTTTACTGTGAAGTTGGTCAGATGCGCTCGCAGCTGCTGCACATCTGCGAGCATGCCCCCCGCTGCGGATGCCTGTGTGCCGCCGTGTGAAGCCGGCGCGTGGTAAGGGGCGGAGGCAATACGCACCAGGCCGTCGCGGTACAGATACATTCGCACAGGCTCGTACGAGGTGACCACCACGTAGAGGCGCAGATCAAACTTGTGTCCCAGTATCAGGAATGGGTGCGACAGGTATCGCTGGATCACAAAACTGCTGCTGTCGGGCTTGCTGCTGTTGGGGCTGTTGCGAGGATTGTTCTTTTCTTCCGGTGTATCGACGGTGCAACGCGAGGTGGAACTGCTGAGGGAAGCCTTAGCCGCCGCGAGTGCGGAGTTGAGGCCTGTCGTGGGGAGTGCGCCGACCTTCATCAGGGCAGCCTCCGCCGCCGCCACGCCGCTGCCGTCCCTTCCAGCATCCACGAGAAAAATTCCCTGCCCACCCGCGTTGTTCGCCGGCTTCACAATAAACAAGCTTGACGTGCGTGGGAGGCCGCCACGATGCACACAGGAATGCCGCAGAGCCGTCTGAAATTCCTTCGCGTCCTGCGGCAGCAACCACGTCTGTGGCGTGAGTGCCGCCCAGTCGCCGTCACTCGTCGCGGAGCACGCTTCGGGATGGGCGACCTCAACCGCAGAGGTGCCGCTCGCACCACCACCATCCTCGCTCTGAGGCTTCCAGAGCGTACTCACGACGCCGCCGCTTCGACTCCTCCTGTCGTTCTCTTCCATTGCAGCTGATGCGTTCCCGTCGTTGAGGGCCGACGCGCGCTGCCACCGCTGCTGAGCTCGACGCATAACGGTGCACAACTTATCCTTGCGACCGAGCCAGTGCGTCCCAGGGAAGTGGTTCACCTTGCGGTACTGCGCCAGCTGGCCCATGAGCTGATCCACCGTACTCGGTAGAAGGTGCTTCAGCCACAGGAGGGAGTGGGTCTTGTGCAGGAGCGCCTTACGTCCCTCCACGCGTGTAAAACCGGCTGCCCGCAGCGTGCCGAAGAGGGCCGTGAAGGGGCAGCAGGCGTCGCCGAAAATGTAGCTGAGTTGGCTGTAGGGGCCTGTCGGGGCTCGTGGAATGGACCGGCAGATCGAGAGCACCGAATGCGTAGGTCTTCTTGCTGCTTGTGCGACGCCGTCATCAACAGAGGTATTTGCTATGGTGTGTGGGAGCGCTTCCGCCGTCGCGGCTGCGTTGTGGCCACCGTACGCCGTCGGCGGGTCCGCACCTCCGTGGTGACGACTGTCTGCTGTGGTCAGCGCCGTTGTCCGTGGGGGCGGATCCGGCCTGACAAAGGCCACGTATTTTCCTCCTCCGTCTCGGCCTTGCGCTTCGCTGGGCGATGTGGGCCACTCCCACCCATCCACCGGCGCGTCGTGCGGCAGAAGTGCGAGGGTCGCACGGCGACGCGGGTAGGGGGACGAGACAAGAAAGACGTCCGTGGCTGTGACAGCGACAGCGGCGCCATCGTCGTCGGAGACGGTGGCGGGAGAGTGAAATGCTGAAGTCACGCTCGGGTACCAAACGACAGGTGGCGGTGTTAGATAACGCTGCAGCACCGCCCGCGCGTGTTGTGCGGCGACGGCGTCCTTCGACGCGGTCTCCATGTGTGCTGGTTGCGGTGCCGGAGTCGCGTGCAATAGGGAGCTGAACCTCAGCACTTCCTTTAGAAAACACAGTCACTCGCAGAAACGTTGAATGGACGGGCCCGACTACATTTTTTACGGGGAGTGTTGAGGTGAGAGAAAAAACACCACACAACAAGAACACAATCAACAGAGGAAAAGACGATGTCCAACGAGGGAAATTGATTTCGTCGAAGTGGGAGGCGGACAGGAGGGAGAAGATGTGAGAGAGGGAAGCGAAGCGCGGCGACGCTGAGGCGACACCATGAAGGACAGAAATGCACCCCCCAGAAGACCTCTACGTCAACACACCCACACACATACACATACACATACACATACATGAGCTCATTTAATAGTTGCATTTGCTGTGAGTTTTTACTCAGCTGCAGCAACAGAGTACCGGCGTTTCCTTAAAAAAAAATAGTAAATCAACTAATACTGTTTCACCATCAGCATCAAGAAAAGTAGCCTACACAGTTGGTCAGTAAATTACTTTAGCATTAAGCGCTGCGCCTCCAACTGCACACACGAAGAAAAGGTCGCTGATTGCCATTAATTGGTCTCGTCGTCTTCGCTGCCTTCGGCATCCGATGGTGCGGCATGGTGGTAGTCGTCGTATACCGCCAGTCCCTCATCCAGCAACTCCCGCCACTCGTCCTTCTCCATCTCGTACGCGACACAGTAACGATCCATCTTGTAGCGCAGGGCGGCCTTCGCCTGCTCCACCACCTCACGCAGCATCGGGGCGGAGGCGTAGGTACTCAGCACGTGCGCGCCCACGTCCACGCTCTTCAGAGTGCTGCGCAGGGAGCCGCAGCCGCGCGGCAGTTGACGCGCCGTAGCGGCCGGGTCGGCAAACAGCAGCTCCATCGGAAAGGTATTAGAGAGGGGGTAGTTGGACTCCGTCACGAGCGGCAAGTAGGTGGCGGTGCCTAGCGGCAAGGCGTAGCGCAGCATCGCCTCCCGGGGCGGGTACACGGCGGACGGCAGCACCCCGGCACCGCGCAAAGTCACGGCATGACCCAACACCTGACCAGCGCTGCTCAGCGGGGCGTAGGTGGACATGGCGTGGGTCAGTGGCACAAAACCGGTCTTGAGGGACGCAGTGCTGCGGGTGCTTTCTTCTTCCGCCGCTTTCGTGGAGGACATGCGCTCGTCGATGACTGGCGCGTCGGGCAGCAGCGGGTTCGCTTCGAGGAACTTCCACAACTCGCTGGACTGTGCGATGGATTGCGGGAGGGCGCCCATCGCCGCGGCGACCCGCAGGCCCGGCGCGGGACGCACCACGCTGCACCAGTCGTCCATGTAGTACATCGGGCCCTGCGTGCGCAACACAGCGTCGTCATGGGCATCCTTCCCGCTGTCTCGTCCTCGTTTACTCTGTGGCACGTTCGCACAGTTGCCGTCACGCACGCCGTAGAGAGCTGTGTCCATTACAGCAGCCACGTACTGCGCGGTGGCTCTTTCATCCTCCAGCCACGTCGGACGGCCAGCCGGTGAGCCAGCGGTGGTCGTGCCACGGAAGAACTCACCCCACTGCGCGAGTGGAATCGGAATGTATACGGCGGACGTGTGCTGAGACAGGTGCAGAGTAGCCAGGAGGCGATTGAGTGCTACCTCATCGATTCGCCGCTCGCGGAAGGCGACCCTGCTGCTGTTCTGCCGGTCTGTGATCCAACTCGGGAGCGGTGTGAAGAGGCAGGTGTTCACGACCGGCGTCTTGGCCCCCGCATCATCCCAAAAGCGCTCCAGCACGTTTGCCGCGGCCCCGCCAAACATGCCATCGCCGTCCGTGAAGCACTGCACGCCTTGAAGCTGGTCGGCGGCCTCTAACTGCGTCCGCATGGCGTCACTCAACGCAGCCACTTCCTCTCTCTTGTCGGTGTGGAGGTGCGCTATGCCGTAGCCGAAGCTGTGCAGTGCAGGGATGTCGCCCGTTGCGTCGACGTGCTGAAGGGGCTTGACGGACGTTACACTGTGTGCCCCCAGTCCTGTGGTGATGTACTGCCACCACGGAATGGTCGTGTTGTGCGTGTCAAATAGCTTCTTCTTCAGCTTCGTCAGTTTCTGCTGTTTTGTGAGACTCTTCGGATGGGGAGTGTTGTGGTGTGCGGTGTCTTCCTCCGCCGCCTCTCCGGCCTGCTCCGCCGCGTCATCCCTGCGATGACGTTGCGGAGTACTATCGGTGCCTCCATACGGCGCAATACCAAGCTCGCGACGCAGTCTCGCGTAGTTGCGCTCTTCTCCTTCGTCGTCGTCGTCGCTTGTCCCTTCGTCATCGTCGTCGTCGTCCTCTTCATCTACGTCGAGACCGTGCTGTGCCCACATGTGCCGGCGCACCGCCTCCACTACGCCGTCCAGCCGCCGTGCCGCCTTATCTCCCTTTTGGCTTTTCAATTGCGCGCTTGCGGCAGCAGCAGAGGCACTTGCTGACCCACCCCACAGCACCGAAGCTGCGGAGCTTGTCGTATCGATGTACCGTGGGCCGTTCTGAGTCCTGGCATCATCCCTCTCCTGCTGCTGCTCTTGCTCTTCGTCGTCGTGGTCGTACTTCGCCTCCCACGCCGCGACGTCATCGAAGGTGGCTGAGTACGGCGCGTCCAGCAGCAGCAGACGGGGGACGTGCGTCCGTGGATGTACGGAGCTGCTGCTGCTGCTGCTGCCGTCGTCGCCGCCTCCTCCGCTGCCCCCGAGCACGTCAGTTGTTCTGCACTCGCGGTACAACGTGTGGTGGTGCGCGTCGTAGTGCGAGGTGCCGTTGGCCCACTGCGCCGCCACGAGGGAGCTGTAGTTGCCGAAGGCCACCGTGATGACTTCCCGTTCGCCTAACATTGTATTTACTGCAGTCTATCTTTGCTTTTTTTAATTCACCTCCCACAATAAACTTAAAACAACAACAACAAGTCCACTCTGTTGAACATGCGTGACGAAGCCTGAGAGGAGATCAGAAGTTTATCTGCGCTTCTCTCACTGTGTGCGCCTGTCCGTGCTGACCTGTATATTGTATTTGTGAGACTCAAATGCACAGCAATCGATTGTGGTATGAGAAGGGGTGGAAGTATCGAGACAATACGGAGGAATAATAATAATAAGAATAATAGTGATGATAGTGATGATAAAAAACCTGTCAGACACGCACCCGCATCCACACGCAGAAAGGTTCTTGAACCGACAGGAGTGACTCATGGAGGAAGACAACATCATTTACCAGTCAGCCACATAAGCACACTACCAGCGTTTTCCCCCTCGCTTCCCCTCTCGAGCGAGTAGGCGATCTTCAAGAAACACACAAACGCACGCTATCACCAACGCACCCTTCAGTGGGTCCACGGAGAGTAAAACCGGGCTCTACCAGAAGAAAAGACAGCGAGCAGGGAGACACTTTACTCACACGGCAAGCCCACCCCCCGCCCCCCACGCTATCGACGCGACTTTTCTGGGCGAGGCTGCAGTTGTGGATCGTGTGCACGGCACGTCGTTGCGCTTCAGCCAAATGCATGTACAGCTTTCATCGTCGTCTTCTGAATCACGGGAAAAAGAACACCAGGCGCTAAAACAGGTGAATACACCGGCATGTATAACCAAATCCACAAAGAGAAAATAATAATAGTAATAACAAATAGTAACGGCGACTGCGTTCGGCGCGGAGAGAAAAAAGAAAAAGAGATAAAGGAAGAGAACCCATTAAGGAGTCGAGCAATGAATTTGCAGAGTAAAAGAAGAAAACGCAGAACGGAAACCCAAGAAGAAAAAAAAAACCAACAACATCGCGCGCGGCAACAGAAGAAGGAGAACAGTTCGTAAAGGAGAATACACCACGCACACACGCGTTCCTGTGCGCCTGCAGTACGTAGTTCGCCTTTTTTTCTTCTTTGGAAAAAGACAACAGCAAACAACAATCAAACACGAGGGAGAAGACGCAAGAGGGAGTAGAGGCGAGGAAACGAAAGAGTGCGACTGCGTTGCCGATTCCACTGTCAACAACAACAACAACAATAACAACAGCCACAAAACGCAGCGAGAGTGGCCGAAAAACCCGCACTTTGAACAGCAGCAGAAAATAGAGGTAGTACCACTAATACCGAAAAAGAAAAGGGAAAGAGATGATCTCTACGGGTCCGATTGTCTGCCGCGCCGTTTCGGGGCTTGCTATTTTTCTTCCTCTTGTGCCACTCTCTCGACCTCCGCGGGCTTCCACGTGTTCTCTCCGCCCTTCTCAGCCGCTGTCGTTTCCACCGTCGGCAGAGCATCAGCCGCCCGCGATGGCGCTGCCTCCACCATCTCTTCCTTCCCCAGCGTGGTGGCCTGTGGTTGCGCTGACGTCTGCATCGTGCTGACCAGTGGAGATGCTCCTTCGGCAGAGCCCTCTCCTAAAGACGATGGAAGACCCTGCTCGGTCGGCTCATGTGGCGTGGGGTGCTGTGTCTTCATCAAAACTACCGGGCTAACAGCTGGCTCCTGCGGGGGTTGCCACTCCTGCGTGGTTTGCGACTTGAACTGGTCGGCCGGCGACGTCGTCTGGTCCGTGTTGACGTTGCCCTCTGCGCCGTTTTCGGCGGCCTGCCGCTCGCGCTTGTACGCGTCACTGCCACTGCCGCTGCTGCTGAATTCGTACTCCTCATCGGTGTACTCGCCCTCCCCCTCCTCGTCCGCCTCCGACGCGCTCACCACGTCGACCCCGTCAAACATGTTGTTCGCGTCATCGCTCATGTCGCCCTCATCCTCTTCGTCGTAGTAGTCGTAGTCCTCCGTCGCGTTGCTGTCGTCCTCGGAGAAGAAGAGCCCGCTGCCACCCGGGGCAGTGTGGCCGCCGTGACCGCTGTCGATGCTGCCACGGCCGTCACCGGCGAGGCCCTGACCCCCACCATTGTCAGCGCGCATCGCCGCGTACTTGTTCAGCTTGTACAGCATCTCCGCCCGCTTCACCAGTCGCTCCGCCCGCTGGCTGGCCACGGCGCCTTCTAAGATATCGAAGTGCAGCAGTTCCTGCGCCGTTGGCCGGTTCTTGGGGTCGATGTCGAGGCAGCTCTTGACAAATTCGTACACGAGCGGGTTGCCGGAGAAGAGCGGCGACAGGTCCGGCGTGTCCGTCAGCTCGCTGAGGTATTTGATGATCCCCATGCCTTGAGCCGACTCGAGGTGAGCAAAGGGGGCGTTGCCCGTCGCCATCTCCAGCACGATGCATCCCAAGGACCAAATATCGGCCTTGAAGTCGTAGCCCAGCCGCTCCTCGACGTCGGCCGTCAGCACCTCCGGCGCCATGTACTGTGGTGTGCCGACCATGGTGTACAGCAGCTGGTGCGGCGCCAGTCGCTTCGCCGTGCCGAAGTCGCCGATCTTCGTGCGGCCGCGGGTGCCGAGGAGAAGATTTGCCGTCTTGAGGTCGCCGTGGACGTAGCGCTGCTCGTGCACGTAGGCCAGGCCGTGACAGATGTCGGAGAGGTGGTGCACGATGTCCTCAAACGGGAGACTGACACCGGGGTGCTCGCGAATTTTATCACGTAGGGTACCGCCGGGTGCCAGCTCCATGTACAGCCGCAGCAGCGTATCGCTCTCCTTCTCGCAGTAGAAGTACTGGATGATGTTCTCGTGCTTCAGGGTGGTCATGGCTAAAATTTCCTGCACCACTTCATCCGCCAGTAGGCCATCGTGCAGCCGCATGCGCTTCATCGCCATCTTGCCGCCCGTCAGCGTATCCTCGACCTCGTAAACGTCACCGAAGGCACCACTGCCAATGCGCCGGCCAATCTTGTGCCGCTCGGAGGAGGAGTTCGTGAAGGTGCGGCGAATGAGATCGATCCGCTCCTCCTCGTCGCGCATCTCCGTGACAATCTGCTCCGCCTCCTGCATGGCGATGTGAACCAGCGCGCCCGAGCCGACCTTCGGCAGCTCCACGACGGCCTGCCGATTCAGCAGCTTCTGCACCCGCCAGTCGCTGAAGTCGGACGTCATGACGACCAGCGCGAGACGGGCGGACAGGATGCGGATTTCATCGAAGGGGTCGTCGCCGAGCAGGGACTCGTAGTCCTCGGAGACGACATCGATCTGCAGGGGGTCAATTAACAGGATATCCGCCGTGTTCATTTCCAACTTGCGCACCAGGTCGCGGAAGGACGTGACCGGCACGACGGCGTGCTGCCGCGCCCAGAGGATCTGACATAGCTGCTGCTGATGCACACGGTTGTTGTCGGCGACGATGACGGTGAAGGTGCGGCTTGCACCGGAAAAGGGAGCGCCGCTGCCGGTCGTCAGCCCGTTCTCGTCCTCGCGGCCTTCTTCGCTCGCGCCAGGGACCACGAGCAGCGGCAGCTCCACGCGCAGTACGTTGCCGGCGGCCTCCGGTCTGGTGAAGCCGTAAACGAGGCCGCCAAGGTTGCTCAAGATCTTCTCCACCTGCTGCAGTTCCGCGCCGCGGGTTGACTTTGCCGGTCCGGGGCTGCCTGTGCTGGGCCGACTGCCATCCAGCCCGGCGCTGCTCGCTACATTCGGGAAGGCATCGCCGTGGAGGGGGGAGGGGCTGCTCGGCAGAGCCTGCTGGTCCCCGCTCCACGTTGGCGGTGTCGAGTCGGGCGACCCCGCCGCCCGCACACTCTCCGTCGCCACCGTCTCCGGCGAGCGCAGCGATGGGATTGTCGGCCCGTCGTCGCGCAGTTCAAAGCGGATGCGCCGCAGCGAGGCGGACATCGTCGTGTTGGGGCTGCCTGCATTCATGAGGGAGACGCACCCCGTCGTGGCGGCGTGCGCGGTCGGCGGGGTCGAGGTGGTGGTCGACACAGCCCGCCGGGCCGTGGCGGCGACGGCGTTGCAGGACGGTGGAGTGCCGGCGACGGTTGGGTTGCCCGCCGATGTGCTCGGTGTATCGCCGCCACTGCTGTCGTCGGCCGCCGCCGCCACCGCCACGTTCGCTGCGCCTGCGGCGCTGAGTCGACCTTGCGGTCCGATCGCAACTGCAGCCGCCCGACTGGCCTCCTCCTTGTGCGAGTGTAGCTGCTGCTGCTGATGATGAGAGGAAGCGATGCGCAGCAGTGGATCTGCATTGGGAGTGCCATGCGGGTGCACGCTGAGCTGATCCGCCAGAATCACCAGCGCGGCGTTGGAGGGGTGGGAGGGTGGCCCGCTCGCCGCCGCGCCGAACAGTGGGATGGGGCTCGCCTTCGCCCCCCCACCACCGCCGGCTGCTGCGGGGTTGGTGCTCGCGAAGGACGTGGCGAAGGAGGCAGGGGAGGCCGCCCCGACGCTGCCGGGGGTCTGGCGGATGGCGGGGGATGCGCTGCCGCCGCCCGGCCCGGCGTGTGCGTCCTGCGGCTCCACCACCGTCACCCGCAGCTCGGCGTGCACGACGATCGGGTTGCCGTCGTCGTCTTCGTTCGGGCTCATGAAAGCATCGGCCAGGAGCAGACGTAAAATGGCCAGCACCTGCGGCGCGTCGAGGAAGATGTCGGTCTTCGGCTCCACCTGCTCGATGTTGCAGTAGTACTCGTGGCGACGCTGCCGGGCGAAGGCGGAGGCCTCCACGGCGAATCGACCGAGCATCGTCGGCAGTCGCAGCGGACGCCAGGACTCGTTCACCGTTTCCATGTTCAGCAACGAGAACTTCGTGAACTGCTCCACCATCGACAGACACGCGTCCAGGTTTCCCTTCACCTGCAGCGCATCCTCGGCCGTCACGCGCCAGCCGTGCGACTCAATTTGCATCATGCGGCGCTGGAACTGACGCAGCTGCGGCTTCAGCAGCCCCTCCAGCCACCTCGCCACATCCGAGGCGTACGTGTTCGCGGCACGGTACTTCGCCTCCCTCCCGATCAGCAGCAGCACCTCCGCCGTCTTGGCGTAGTTGGACGGGACGACGGAGAGCGCCAGACCGACCTGGAACAGTCCCGAGTTCTGGCGAAACGGAAACACGCGATTCTCCTGCAGGTGCTGCGTTGCGTACTGCTCCCACTTCCCCGCGTAGTGCGTGCCCAGGGACAGGACGTCGCGCATCTGCTGCCGACCCTCCTCGGAGGCAATGAAGTCGTAGACGCTCTTGCCGATCGTCTCAAACGGCGCGTAGCCGGTGACGCTCTGCGCGACGGAGTTCCACCGAATGATCGTGCCATCCACCACGACGGCGATCACAATACTCTGATTCAGGCTCATCGCGTCGGCGGTGAAGCGGTACAAATTGCGGCTGCCAGAGAACACGAGCTCGCCACGCGCGCTGATCCGACGAGAGCGACTGCCCGCCGTGGAGGAGTGCTTCGCCGAGAAGGTGTTGTTGTCGACGGTCTCGCGGCGCGTGCCGGTGCGGGAGCGGCCGGCGACGACAGACGTGCTCACACCACCCGCTCGCTTGCCCACCTCCCCGGCGTGGTTCGAGGTTTCATCGCCGGTAATGGGCGACACGTCCGCCATGCTCGACCCGCTGCCCTGCACGGCGTGATTGCTGACGGACGGCGCCTCCAAATACGGGGTCGAGGACCCCATCCCGGTGCTATTCACGGCGAGGTCGGCCACAACGGCGGAGCTCATGTCTGCGTTGTCCTCCGGACTGCTCGCGGGGTTTCTGCCGTCGGAGTCCGGCGCCGGGCTCGGCTCAAGCGGCGCGGTGCGGTGACGACGACTGCGCCGCTGCCGACGCCGCTGTCCACTCAACTTCGTGCCGGTGACGGAACGCGTGCTGCCCATCTCCTCCTCTCTCCCGCCGGTGCTGCTCTCTGCTGCGCCGCCGCAGTGAATCTTGACGGTGTGGAAACGGCTCTTCGACGTGCTTTTCGCCGTGGGGCTGCACAGCGTTGCAAAGGAGTCCCTCGACTTGTAGCGGCACAGCATCTGCGCGGCCAGCACGGGCGAGGCGGAGGTGCTGAGCTGGCGCGACCACAAAGGCTTCGGGCTCGCAGAGAGCTCGGCGGCGGTGCGGCTGATGCCGCCGGCTTGCATCGCGGCGCTGCGCGACGCCGACTTTTCGTTGCTGTCCCCGCGGAAGCTGCCATGGTGACGGGACGAGGGGAGTATGAGGCGCGAGTGGCGCTTCGTGCCCCTGCCAACGTTGAGACGGAAAAGCAGCCGTTGCATCTCCTGCTTCAGCTCCGACGGCACTGTCGACTCAAAGTAGTAGTAGTCAGGGTCCAACAGCATGTTGCGCTTCAGTTCCTCGACGACGCTGCGGGCCATAATAGCCTCAAAGTGCAGACGACTAATGCGGGCGGCCTGCACCGTCGTGGTCGCCACGGCGGTAAAGAGACCTTTACACTTGAAGACGAACTCCGGCTCGCCGACGAGCTGACCGCGTGTGCGGTCTACCACGACGAGCGTCTCCTCCGGAATGGTGATGGTGTCGGCTGATCCACTAAACGCCGCCCGGGCCACTCGCGGGTTACCGCCGGCGAGTAGCATGCTGGTGGAGCGCTTGGCGTTGCCGGACGCGGTGGATGGCGACGGAGAGGCGCAGCGCTGCAGGGAGCCCGGGTCCAGCGAGGCCATGGTGGAGCCGAGCAAAGTAAAATCCGGATGCAGTATCGACGGCCGCGCTCCGGCCCGGTGCGAGCCGGGCGTATTCAGCACGTTCGGGTCGCAGTGGCGGTGGTGGCCGTGGCCGTGACTGTGGTGGTTCGGTGGCTGCCGCTGTATTTGCAGCATTGTTTGCCGGCGCTTGTGCAGCAGTGGGGTGCTGTCGTCTTTCGTGGGCGCGATGCGGTCCTCGCTCTGAGAGCTGGGGGTGGTTTTGCCGAGCGTGTGCGTCTGCGCGAATGCGTCTTCCATGCCGTCGCCGCTGCTGAGGAAGTGAGTATGGCGGTTTGCGCTGCCGCTGTTGCTCTCCTCGCAACTTCCGGAGTTCAGCCGCGGCGAGTGACCCTCTGGCGGTGGCACGGGCGCGAGCAAAGGCGAGGCACCCGCGCTGCCGCTGATGTTGCGCTGCTCTGCTGTGAAGACCTGCGACTCCGCCAGCTGCAGCAGCTCCTGCACGCCGGTCCCAGGCTTGCCGTCTGGCGACTTCGCCAGCGCCGCCGGTTTGTGGAAGGGTGTGAAGGGCGGCGAGGGGAGAGTGGTGGCCACGCGTGAGGAGGAGTTCGGTGCCTGCGCCATGGAGGAGTTGCTCGTGAGCATCGCGGGGTCGTTGGGGTTCGTTGTCGAGCTCAGCAGCTCCACGATGGGGCGTGAGGCGGTGGTGGACGTGGCCGCAGCGGTGGTATCGCCCTCTGCCACAACGGCGCTGCAAGTGGTACTTACCGGATCACTTTGTGGAGTGGCGGCGGGTGTGCCTTGGGCGAGCGGCTTGCACGTCATGCGGACCGTACCGGACATTAGGAGGTACATCCACTGCACCGGGGCGCCTTGCTCCGTCAGTTTTGCGCCTTTGCGCAGTCGACACACACGGAACGAGTCCGCCAATCGCATCTTGGTTGGTGGCGAGAGCCCTTTGAAGAGGTCGCACTGGTTCACGTACTGCAAGAACATGTAGCGGCGCGCATCCTTCTCGTGAATCACCAGCTTCTGGTAATCCACCTTCGTCAGCGCGTACACGGTGGTCGGGACGACCGCCGTCAGCGTCACGCGGCTGCGCTCGACGTGGTATGACATCTCCATCTCGCCGTAGAACTGGCCGCGTGTGACGGAGCGTGTGACGAGTCCTCTCCGCGAAATGGACATCTTGCCAGAGACGACAAGCAGCAGCTTCTCCAAGGTCGGCTCGCCCTCCTGCACGAGCGTCTGCGCCTGCGCCAACTCAACACGCGACATCGTCCGCACGAGCGTCTCGAGCTGCGTCTCTTCCAGCGCGGCGAAGGCCTCAAAGCGGGCGACGGCCTCGCGGACGATTTCCACCTCCTGGGGCGCCACGTGGCCCTCGCGGGAGAGGAAGGAGTTCATCGCGGCTGCGACGGAGGACGTGGCGAGGGGTTCGTGCGACGGACTCAGCCCCGGCGACGGAGGGAGCTGCGTCGTCGGCGTCAGCAGCGACGTACCAGGCGTCGCGGTGTCCGGTCCAATGACGATCCCGATGCTGGGCGGCACCCTGTTCCCCCCTCTGCCGCCGTCAACGATGAGCGAGCTGCTGTGCGTGAGGGGCGGTGAGAGGGTGCTGGAGGAGGCCGCGGAGGGGTGCAGCTCCTGGTGGTGCTGGCGACGCGCCGGCGTGGCGGCGGTGCCGGTCCCAGAGATGTAGCCTGTATTCTGCGGGCTCACCGGAAAAGCGCTAGAGGGGCTGGTGGCATAATCAGGGCGATAGCCGTCCGCGGTCCCATGCGGGCTGAACGGGGTTCTCGCAAACGACTCGGGCAGCTGACTGGAAGAAACCGTCGTGAAGGTGCCATAGGGACTTGCCACCGTGGCGGCGGCGCTGGTGGTGCTGCGCTGCGGGACGTGCGCGCCGGTTGCGGCTGCAATCACCACCGCGCTGCGCAGCGTCGCGCCAAGGTCGTCGCCGTCGTCGTCATCGAAGTGCTGCGGCGACTCGCTCGGGCGGTCCGTGGCCGCCGTGTCGTCCGTCACGTAAGACTTGCCCGCCGCGACAATCGACTCCGGCAGCGGCGGCGAGAAGGGGGAAGTCACGAAGCAGACCCCGGGGCTGGTGCCCTGCGGACTACTGAACGTATGACCCTCTTGCAGAAACGATGGCGAGGAGTGGCCTTGACTGCGGTAGTGCCAAATAGGCGAGTTCGTGGTGCTCGTACCACTCTGCCCTACGTTCTCTAACCAACTCCCGCCGTTGTCGCTGCCGCGCGAGATGTTCTGCTTTGACCGGCGACGGCGCAACTTCGGGGCGTCCGCATTGATGCTGCTGCTGCTGTCGCCGGCGACCTCGGCGCAGATAGGACTGAAGAGCGAGTCCGCGGCTGCCGGGTGCTGTGAGCGGTCCGACCGAACCGGCAGCTCGGTAGAATTTACCGAGTCGACAATACCGGTGGTGGTCTCATGCGAAGCGTCGCCGTTGTTGGGGAAGGCTTGTGACGAGGAGGTGAAGAGGCGTTGATCGGAGAGCATCGTGAGCTCTTGCGCCTTGTCCTCAGCCGTGCTGGGCACGTGTGGTTTGCTGTGCGGCACTTCTGATCCTGCGGGGAGTGTTGTGGACCCCTCGGCGCCGTCTTTGCTGCTGCCCGACGCGGTGGTTGCGCTTCTGCTTCCACTGCTGTGGCTGCGTGGTGGGGTTTGATTCTCGTTGCCCATTTTGCTCGTCTGCACGAGCAGTGACAGTACGTCGCGGATGGGCTCCTCCCGATCCGAAAGACCGATGTGCTCAACGGGGGAGGAGCGCGCAGAAGCGTCTTGCGGCTCGGTGGTGGACGGGGGGTTTTGAATCGCGGTTGGCTGCGACACAGCTGGAGGGTTCTCCGGTTTGTCGTCAGGGTGAGCTGGCGCGACGCCGCTGGTGGTGCTGCTCCCCTCCCCGCCATTTCCTTCCTCTTCCTCATTTTCCTTCTCCTTCTTTGCCTCGTCGGGCGCCGTGGCATTTGCTGCCGTCTCCGCAGGGACGTGCGGTGCCGGAGGAGGAGAAGAGCCAGTTGTGGCATCCGTGGAGGGCTCGCCGTGGCCACTCGCTGAGGTAGTCGTCGTGACGGTGGTCGTGGTGGCGGACGCAGAGACCGTTGCGCCGCTCGTTGTCGTCGGCAACTCCTCTTCCGTCGCGACATTTGGAGAGGGCGGCAATGTCGACGCTGTCGCCGTCGCCGGCGCATTTCGCGCGTCCGCAGTGGCGACGATCGCGGAGGCAAAGGCGATGGACACGGCCTGCAGGTCCGTGCGCCGCGGCGCCCTCTCCCGCTCCTCGCCGCTCCGTTGCTCGTTGTGCGCGCTGCTGGTGCGGCTGTGCACAAAGTTGGCCCGACGCGTGCGCGGCCCATCCAGCCCAACAAGCAAGCCGCTCGCCCTCTCTTCCACGGGCGGGTTCGGGCACAGACTGGACAGGTCGTTGCCGGAGGGTTTCTTGTAGAAGGACGGGGCACCGACCTGTCCGGTTTGTGAGGCCGGTTGGGAGAGCGGGGCGGTGCTGCGTACGCTGGCCGCCGTCACGCTGCCGGGGCTCGCGACGCTCTGCACGCTCGCCGAACTGGCCGCACCCGCCCGTGCTGCTGTTGTCGCCGCTGCCGCAGCGGCCGCATTGGTGGTGGCCGCCGTGGTGGCCTTGGCGAGCAGTCGTGGGTCGGCCGGCCCGCCCGATGCGTCGAGCCGCACGGACGACAGGTTCACCGTCGTGACCGGCAAGTGCTCCTTTGACACGGGGGTGAAGTTGTTTTTTAAGTGGGCGGCGGTCGTCGTCGTCGTCGTTGTCGTGGGGTTGGAGGCGGAGTGGCTCGCGCCGGACAGGCTGCCTACCTCGCTGTGCGTCGGCGGTAGCGTGAGCAGTATGCTTTGGCTGAGGGCGTCGCGCACGATGGCGTCCACCGAGGCAGAACCCGTCGACTTTGCAGCGGGAATAGCAGCGGTGGACTTGGTGACGAGGTCCATCATCCCCTCTGCCCCTTGCAGCGGGTCAACGATGCAGACGCCGCCACTCAGGGCGTGGTTCGAGCTGAGGATCCCCGAGAAGGACGCCACGCCGTGGGCCGGCACGCCGTCGAGCGAACTGGACTGTGCGAGTGTCGGCACCGGCCAGGCGTGCGCCGCGACGTTAATGTTCACGAGGGGAGACACAGGCTTGCCGGTCAGGCCCATGCCGACTCCGATGGGATCCGCGAGTAGCGACTCAGTCGTTCCAAAGTGGCCCGTGTTGCGTGCGGAGGCGGCGCCGACCGAAACGGTCGCGCTCATCGCATCGCTGCCTGACGCGTCCACGCCGTCGCTGTTGCCGGAGGAGCTCATTAACCCCTCGAGAAACACAATTGCTGCGGCGTACTTGCTGGGGGGTAGCTGATCCATCAACTTACCGAGCCGACGTGCGGTGTCCGCCTTCAGCGTGGCAGACAGCGGGGAGGTGACGAGGCCACCACTCCCACCAACACCGGACGACAGCGTCGTGCCCTGTCTGGACGAACCTGAGGTGTCGGCGTTGCTGTGGTCGTTATTAGTATTCGTGACGCTACTCACCTCTTTCCTCTCCTCCTCCGCCTTCCCCTGCATCAGCGAGGAATGGCAGAACGTCGTGGGGCGTTCGGCCGGCGGCGTCTCCACCCGAACATCAGTGCCGCAGCTCGGGGTGGCCGCCCTCGACGCGGCGAGGCTGGCGGTCGCGGTGCACGGCAAGCTGTCACTCACACCGCCAACCCCAACCCCATCCCCTGTCGCAACACAGATGGGGAGCCGACTGGCGCTGCTCATCGTGCTGACCCCGTGCGAGCCTATTTTGGGGAAATCGGCCAGCTGCAGGTTTGGCGCTGTCTTCCAGTTGCCCGTCACACCGATACTGCCGGACTCATGCGGAGTCAGAAACCGCAGCGGAGCCAAAGCGGCGGTGGACGGCGTCATGGGGTGATCGCCGTGACGGGCCATCGCAGCCGTCGCGGCGGAGGCAGCGCTGCTGCGGTGACCAAAACTGTTGTTGGTCGGCACACCACGGCGCCCAAAGCTAGAGTTGGTGACGCCGTTGCCGCCGACCATGTCAGCCAACATCGGGGTGGGGAGAAGGTTGAAACCGCCGGTTGTGGCACGAGGGGCATAGGGAGGGAACGGCGCGTACGGGTTGCTCGCCGCATTCCCGAGTCCTCCTGAGGCAACAGCGGCAGCGGAGGTCGCCGTGTTGCTGGTACTTGTTGGCCCCCCAACGTTGGTGCCCCCACCGAGGCTGCTGACGAGGTAGCCGCCAGCTGAGTTGCTTTGCCGGGGCGGGGTCGCCGTTCGTGAAAGAACGCCGGAGGGGATATTAAGCGGCGGTGCCCCGAGGAAGGAAGGCTGGCTAGTGATGGCACCCGCGGTGGTACGGTAGTCGATGACTTCGTTCGTGTGCCGATCCACAGCGAGCAGAGGTGAGAACATCGCAAAATTGGCTGCATCGCCACTTCCGTTGCCGCTGCTGCTGCTGCTGCTGCTGCTGCTCGCCTTTCTGTTCTCTTCGCTGCCGTTCTCCGCCAAAGCCGATCTTTTCTTGGAAGCGACATTCGTAGCAGCGTGTTGATCCGCTGTCGTGCTGACGTTGGGGCTTTGTTCGGCGGTAGAGGAGCGCGGTGTTTGGAACTCCCACGAGAGCGGCGAGTGCGGCTTGTGGCCTGCCTCCTTTTCCAAGACCGCCATCGCCGGTGTATCGGGTTCGGGGGAGAGGGTCGATGGAAGCGATGCCGCGGACACGACACTGCCCTGCGCCGTGGTGCCTTTGGTCATCGCCGCCGCGTAGGAGGAGGAGTCAAGAGTGGGGCTGGTGCTCCCGGAGGGAATCAAAGCCACATGCCGATCGGGCGGGCTCGTCGTGCTGGGCACTGTCGTGGTCGTGTGATTTGGTTCATCGCTGTCTGGGGCGGACAGCAATGAGGAGGAGCGCAGTGGCGAGCGACCGCGGTGGCGCGCGTCGTGCAAGTCGCCGCTGCCCTTGTTCGACACGGTGGAAGAGGGCGCGTTGGTTGTGCGTGCCGACGAGAGTTCCAGGTGTGCCCAGCCCCCACCGTTGATGTGCGGCGCGTCAAAGAAGGAGGCCGATGACGAGGACGAGGAGGCCGACTTCGCAGCCGTGTCTGCTGTGCCGTCTGTCTCGAGCGCAGGCCCAGCACTGCCGCCTTCGTCGCTCTGTTTTCGTGCTCTTGTCTTTTCCTTCTCCTCGCTCGCCTGGTGCAGAAAGGCGGCTTCCGCCATGTCTACCAGCATTTTCGCACGCTTCGCCTTCTCCGCGTCCGTCATGATCGAAGCCTCCGCCGGGGACATCGTTTTCATGATGGACAGGTTCGGCGACGAGGAGTGCGGACTGCTATGACGCGAGTGCAGGTGCTGCGCCGCCTTGGTGGGTGTCGGCGCCGGCGAGGGGGAGGAGGCGCCGCTGCGCGCGTTGCTCACCGGACTCGCCATCGAGCGCGTTCCGCGACGTGGCGGCTCGTGCTTCCCTGTCGCTGTCGCTGTTGCTGTTCCCCGCCGGGCATTGCCGCTGCCGCCGCGCTCGTTCTTCTTCTTTCGCTGTCGCCCCTCGCACTTTCCCCCGTCCGTTGCACCGGTATTACGGCGGCCAACGCCTTTGCGCTCCGCTCCCGTCTGCGCCTTCGCTGCGGCCTCCATCAGCGTTGGCTGCTCCGATGTCATGACGATGAGCTTCGGCGGGGCGAGGTCGAGCCGCGAGGAGGTGTCGGATGCCGTGTTGTCGTCGTCGTCTTTTCCGGGCTCGCCCTGTGCGTCGTTGGTCGCGGAGCTCGCGCGGGAGTAGGGAGTACGCTTTCGCACCGAGGCTGCTGCGGGTGCGGGTGCGGTGGGCGGTCCTGTTGACCCGCCTTGCGGGGCACCTCCCATGGTGGAGGCTTGTAGCGAGGTGGTGTTCGACGACCCTGGGTCCACGTTGGGTGCACTGCTGTGGTTGCTGAGGGCGTCGCTCATGGAGCTGCTGGGTCCGATGCCGTAGCTGCGCGTGCTCTCCCGCTCTGGAGAGAGCGCGATGCCCGTGGCCGGCGCGCTGGATACGTTGACCAAGTCGGCGTCCATGGAGCCGCTTCCTTGGTGACCGTCCTCATCGTCGTCCTCGTCCTCCTCGCTCACAAGCCGGTCTGCCAGCCAGTCGCGCGTAAAGGCGCGCGGATCGACAGGCTTGGCCGCCATCAGCGAGAGGGAGAGCTGCGCCATCAGTGCCGGGATTTTGAAGGTGTCAAGGTATGCTTCATCGCTGAGAAGGTGCGCCGCCACCGACACGGGGAGAGCGGAGGACTGGAGGGAGTTGCCCAGTGCCGAGGCCGAGCCAACGGTGTGGAGGTGCTGGTGCGGGTGTTGATGGTGTGACCGTGGTGCATGGCGCGCTCGCGGACTCGCCGCGGCCACCGCTGGGGAGTTCGCCCGCCGCGTCGCCACGGCCGGCAGCTCATTCGACGCCGATACCACCGATGAGGCCGTGGCGAGGTCGCCGGTGCTGGCCGAGTGCAGATTCGAGCGTCGCCGCGACAGCTCGGGTGTGTCGCGGGCGTCCCTCTCCGATGTGGAGGAGGGCACGTTGGTCGGCGGAAGCAACGAGGACAAGTCGTCGCCGCCGACCGGGGCTGACGCGGCGGTCAGCGTGCTTTTATGCAGCGGCGGCCGCGCCCCACCGACGAGGCGGCGACGGCGGCGCAGCTTCCGTCGATCCTCGCTGGAGGGGTCGTTATTCGAGCTGCTGGCCTCCGTGTTGGTCGACGCGCTGCGCTGCGTGACCGGTACGTCCGATCCCAAAATAGCCTGCAGGGCGGCCACCGACAGCTCGGAAGCCGTGGTGGTGTTGATGTTGAGGCTCTGCCCCTCCGCGGAAAGAAACGGGTTCGCAGCGACGGAGGCAACCGCGGAGGGGACGGCGGAGGAGGCGAGTTTGACGTCTGCGGTGACGGCCGTAGTAAACAGCCTCGGTTCTTCCCGGCTGGTGGGGCTGCGCGCATCCGTCTTGGCTGAAGATGCCGTCGTCGTCGTCGGCGCAGTTGAGTTGGAGGCGGTGTGTATGGGCACCCTGCGCTGCGTCGCCTTCTTTTTAAAGTCGACGTGCTCGGTGAAGATGTCATCGTCGCTGCTACTCCCGTTGCTGCTGTCGTCGTTGGAGTCGGACATATTCGCTACGGTTCTTTTGTGTGTACTTTATCTGTTTCGGCGTTTGATGTATCTTCAGAACAGAGAACTAAAAGAGTAGCGTTAGTTAAGTGAGGGACACGCGCGGTACAGTAAAACAAGAAAGAAAAAAAACCAAAAGGGTGGTTAAGCGACTGCACCGCGAAGTGTATATACATGTATGTACACGGGGTAGAAACAAACAAACAAACAAGATAAAAGAATATACAGAAAGCGGCAGCGAAAAAACAAATTAATGTACTCCGTTAGGTGCGACTGCCGAACAACGCCAGAGGCTGCAACTTGATAACGGCAACAACAAAGGCCCCCCAAAAAAATAAAGGAGGAAGAAAGGAGTGCGTTGTGTATTGCACTCGGTGAGGGAGGAGAAGGAACAGACTAGTAAGAAAGATAACGCACACGGCAAAGTTGTCTGCGTGAGGTGGTGATGAGAGACGTACAGCAGAATACACGCACACACCCACACATAACCTTCGACAACAGTAAAACGATTGGATCCGCTGCAAATGAAAACAACAACAGCCAAAAAGACGACGAAGAGAACAAAAACACGGGTGAGGCCCCCCGTTCCACCACACAACCACACCGATAAAAAGACTCCGGGAAAGATACACCGATTGCGTCAACTCGAAATAAAATAAAAAAAACCAAATAAAAAAGTTCAAAAGCGCTAGAGATGATGATGATAATAATAATAAAGGGGTTGAAAAGAACACTAGTAGTAGCAATGCCTCCAAGAAAACAAAAACAACCTACGGAGACGACAGGGCAAATAGTCCTCAAAAGGAATCTCGCTCACAGATACAATACGAGAAAAAATATTAGTGGTTGATCGGCCTGAAAAAACAACAACAACAACAACGAAGAGAGAGGGAGAGAGGATTGACTCTGTCGTACCGAACACACACGCACAGGCAAAGCGTTGTTTTTCTTTTCCTCTCCTTCTTTTTTCCTTTTCTTTAACGACAACCTTGGAAGCAAAGCAGAGAGGTAAAACACCAAGTCAACAAGAGCAAAAACAAAAAACACACACAATCAGCGTAAATCAGGTTAATCCTTTTCTTACGCCTTACTCGCTAGCGAAAGAAACGAAAAACAATAAAATAAACAGGTCAAATGACGGCACGCGCGTGAAAGCTGATGGAATGTCAGTACGCAACGGCGAAAACAGACTCTCACACACACTCGAAAAGGGAGAAGAGAGCCAAGACAATGACACGAGAATAGCCAGCTTAAGAAAAACAAAAACAAAATCAAAAAAAAGATAATATAAGATAATAGCGTAGCCTTCGATATCGACAGAGGCAGGAGCATGAAGGAAGAAATGAATAAACAACAAACAAATAACGAAGGTAGAGAAGAAGACGTGATCGACTTTTCAAAGGAAGGCGGCGAGTGGGTACAACAAAGGAAAAGAAGGAGAGTGTTGGAGCGAGGTGGCAACCCTCCCCCCCACACACACGCGTCAGCAACGCTTTGAGGGAGCAAAACGTTGCTGTGTACACCAAAAAAAAAGGAAAAGAAACAAAAGGGGGGAAAGAGAGAAAACAACAACAACAAAGAATCTAACAAAGCAGTGTAGGCGTTATTGCCCAGTACGAATGAAAGGACGATCGAGCGTAGCACTTCCAACAAACCAACAAAAGAAAAGTCAACACAGGAAAAGAGGAAAGAAGAAGAAAGGGTGTGCAAAAGAGTGACAGAAAGGAGAAGAGAATCTGCTTTGTCGCTTCTCGTTCCTCTGTGTGTGTGTGTGTGTGTGTGTGCGTGTGTGTGCGTGTGTGTGCGTGTGCGTGCGATTGCGACTGCACTGAAAGATGTACGGATGCTTGTGTTTTCACTAACGGCAGGAAAACCGCAAACAGAAGAAAATGAGCTATTGTTCACTTGCCTTTTTATTTCTTTTCTTTCTTTCTTTCTGGTAGAAGGAGATGACCGAAAGAGAGCCGTCGAAGAGTGTCAGAGCTGCGGTGGAACACCAGGGGAGGTGAGACTGTGTTCAGGTTGCGCCGTGGTTTTGGTCGACGACAAAAACAACAACCAAATGAAAACCCCCAAAAACAAGTAATGCAGGCTCGTTAGAAAAAAAGCAAACGTACCCGAAAATCGTGAAGCGCACGAATAACTCAAAACCTCAAACACCAAACAACAACTACAAACACGGATTTCTAAATAATCTCCTTTGCGGCCAGATGCGTGCGAGAGGTGGCGACGGCCGAGTTTGTGTTGGTTGCACCACGAATGAAGAAGGCGCACACGCAGCGACATGCGATGTTGCGTGCAGCGACAGGAAAAAAAAACGCAGCAGAAAATATTCAAGATGAGACAAGAGAAGAGAAGGAAAGCAGTGAGGAATTGATATATATATTTCTCTATTAGTCGGCTGGCCACATGTCTGCGGAGACAATCCACAGCCAAGCCACCATCCCTGCAGAGGAGGAAGAGCGGGGGATGGATGGGTGCGCGGCGTTGTCAGCGGATTGGTTCTCAAGGGATGGACGGGGCGACGGCTCGTGCGCACGCAAAGAGACGGCAGTTGAGCCATGAGCTCAAAATCAGCTTCCCCGACTGGCGGCAAGCTGTCGAGCCTTGCGTTGGTGCCAATCACCGTCGCAATTACTATTAATACTCTTATTATTACTTTTTGGCTTTCACAATTCATGAGAAATAGTGTCCGTCGTTCCATCCAAAAAATGAGGCGAGCTGAAAACAAACAACCACAAACGGTTTTTTTAAAGTTAAAACCAATTGTCTTCGCTGGCGAAAAATAAAACTCTAAAAGGGAGAGAGAGAGAAACAACAGTGGTGCTTTCAGAGATGATACTCGAGCGTTTGCGTAAAATAATAAAAGTAGTTGTAGTAATAATAATAAAAAAGATGGGATCAACAACAGGGAGTAAAAGAAAGAACCACAACAAGAAGAAAAAAATAATCAAAATCTACATTGTATTTCGTACTCACCATATATTTATATGTAGCCGTGGGGCTTGGGTGGAGAGCTGGACCTTCATTACTGTAAAAGAAGAGAAGTCAAGAGAAAAACATAGGAAGACAGGAAGAGAAGAGTTCAGAAGAAAAATATAACAAAAAAATCAGGAGTACTACCAAATTACCTGAACAAATGAAAGGAGGGAGATTTGCATCCCGCAGTCCACAGGAAGCATCAAGACCGCCTGCTCATGAGCCCATCTCTCTTTATCTCCTAGCGATTGCATAAATATTGCCATTGCAGAAGTTACAGAAGAAAAACAAAAAACAAAAACAAATAAACAACAGAAAGAAAAGAAAAAAAACGAGCTGCACACGGATAAACGAATGCGTCGTCCCACGCATGATACACAGGAGCACTAGAGAACAGTGATATTAATAATAGTAATAGTAAACAACCATTAAAAAAAGAATTTAGAAGGAGGAGGCAATTCAGAAAATCACCGAGTAGAATGCTCCGACCAGAATGAAGAGGAGGAGCGGCAAGACGTCACGCCACGACTCGGGACTCCGCCACTAGTCCAAGCAAGCAACGCTTGCCAGGAAAAAAAAAGGTGATATAAACAAGGGCCCAGATTGAAATAAAACAATCACAGCAGTAACGACAGCTAACAGTAATAATAGTGGTAGCAGTACTACAACTAGCAATAGTATTTCGGAATATATATAGCGGAGATCATTAATGGTAAAGGCAACAAAGAAGAAAAGAAACGAGAATCATCTCAAATTTTGAAATGAATAAGAACGGATTTCTTGGCTCTTGGCCTTTTTTTTGGTTGCTGCATTCCCCGTCTCCCACCCCCACCCCCGAATGCAGCAGTGGTCGCCATCATCGAGGAGACGAGTCAACAGCAAAACAGTAAAAGCTTGATCACCGCATCCTTTTTCTTTTTCCCTTTTTGCGAAGCGCAAAGGACAGCGAGTAAGAAGAAAAGAGAAAGCACACAAAACAAACAACAGAAAGGAGAGACCGCCATAAGTTCTTCCTTTGCATGGCCGCAGCTGATACATATATATATATATATATATATATATATACGTGTGTGTGCGGGATGGGCGTCGGGTGAAGAAGTGCACGACGACGAAGAGGGCGAAGAGAGAGAGAGAAAGAAAGAGAGAAAAAAGAAAAGCAGCAACAAACACACACTAAGCAAGCGTAAGGAGGGAATATATATATATATTGCTTTCACTTTATTATTAAAACACCAACGACGTTGAAGCGATAAAGTGACAGAAGACAATAAGCAAACAGGAGAAGACAGAAAGGAAAAGGCGAGCCAGGAAAACACACAGAAGTGACGATGAAATAAACCAACAACAGAAAACAAAGGGAGGGAGAGAGAGAGAGAGAGAGGAATGTGAGGATCTCACATCAGCGCTGAAGTGAAATGAGCAAAGAAAAGAGGAGAGTTTTTTTTTTAGTAGCTTATATATATATATGTCAAAAAAACGATCGCATGATCTCAGTTATTATTAAATCTCTAAGTCGCGATAGTAGGTGGTGACACCCACTTCAACGGACTACAGAAGCAAAACACAAACAAAAACAACAACAAAATGAAAATAAAGAGAAGAAGAAAGACAGAAAATGCAGTAAGTGTCGTTGCTGCTCATTTTCCGCCTCCTTGTTTTTTTTATTTTATAGAGAGTAGAAGAAGAGGTCGCACAAGTCAAAGAGAACGGCTTTGACTGTTGTTGACTGTTTCGCTGATGAATCCTTTACAGGGAAAACACCCAGAGAAAGAGGCAAATAAAATAATAACAATTAAAAAAGAAAGCGATAATACAGTTCAAGACGTTTTGGGCTCACGCAAATGATATACATGTGTGTACGTTTATCGGAAGGGGAGGCAATATATCTGCATAAATATGTATGCATACATGTATATATCCAGCAGAAAAGAAAATAGTCATGGTAGCGATCCAATAACGAATTTACTCAACATGAGGAAGAGCTCTGTGCGCTTTCCGTGCGTGCGCCGCAGAGCTGAACAGAGGGGATAAACAAAACAATCATCCAAAACAGACCCGTTAGCAATAATTCAATTTTATATATATATAGGGAGTATTCAATTGGGAGAATAAAAAGGGAGAGCCCGAAAAGGCCTGTTGCTTTGATCGGAGCGTCGCACACATCCAAGAGAGAAAGCAACAACAGCAACCGATAGCATGTGCTGCGAAGGGTGACGAAGCGCCGTAGGAGAAAAGGAAGTGTGCTTCATTGCTGGCCAAGAGGCGCTCCTTCACAGCTTCATCGTAGCAAAAAAGAAAGAAAGAAGACATCATCGACCGCTTTCTTCACAAACTCCGATAAGGAAGAGTGAGAGAGAGCGAGAGAGAGAGAGAGAAAACCAAAAGGGGTAGCTTGTCAGCAACATAATAGTAGTAGTAATAGGAAGATGAATAAATGCGTACACGGGGAAAACAAACATCAGCAACAGCACAAGCGATTACGTACAACGTGAGGAGTCGGAAAATCGACTTCCTACTCTTTGTTCCCTCCTCCTTTCTCTCCCAACACGACGTCTGCAGTTCGTGATGCTCAAAACGCGGCCCCGCCAGCGTGCGGTGTCAGACTGCCTTTCCTCGGCGGCGGATTATGCAGGCCCCGGTGATGGGATGAGGTGGCATTCGATGAAAGGAACAGGGCGCTCTGCGGCATCGTCGGCACGCCACCTAACTGCGCCGTGAAACCAGGAGCAGTGGCAGCTGGCTGGGACTGCCCCTGCTGCTGCTGCTGCTGGGAGGGCAGAGTAGTAGAGCAAGGCTGCACGGCCGGGTCACCGTGTGTGACGGGCCCGGAAAGCGGAAAGGCCATGGCTACACCGCCTGGCACCGTGGGAGGCTGCACCAGCATCGGCACACCGTTCGCCACGGTGTAGTAGAGAACCTTTCCAGGCGCGACGGGCACCATGGACGGGTGCGCCGAGGCGGAACGCGGAGAGGGAGATCCGACCAGCTGCTGCTGCTGTTGCTGTTGGAGGGAGAACGGAGGAGAATGCGGTGGGTTCGCCTGCTGGGCCTCCGTTGGGTACGGCGAGTACGCCACACCCGTAGGGAGGCGCTGGGGTGGGGTGGGAATACGAGGATCCACGGGCACGTACATTGCATTGGCGGAGGTTCCCGAGAAGGCAGGTGCCTGTTCGGGCAGGGATCCCGCAGTGGTCGCGACGTTGTTGCTGTCGAGAAGCGTGCAGGATGAGTTCATTGGCTGCGACGCGCGCCTGTTCTCCGTGTCCGCAGTGTGCGTCACGACTCCCCGCGCGCCCGTCAGCGGGTGTGAAGTCATCATCTTTTCAACGGTGAAACGCGAGGCGACGGTGACGGGGACGGCAGCGGCTTTGACGCCGCCATCGATGCTCCGCCGGTGCGTCTCGCCATCGCCGCTGCTGCTGTTGTCGTCATCGTCTGCGTCGAGCATATCCGTGCCGCGTAGTAAGTAATGCGGGGTCGTGCCGGCCACGCGGTCCGTGCTGGCCCACTCCACGCCGGGCTGTAGCGCCCAGTGCAGCGGCGATGGGGGTGCCCGCTGCGCGTCTGCCGGGTCCTCCTGCGGTATTGTCGCTCTTCGCTTTAGCAGCGGCGCATTCGCCGTGGCGCCGGTTGTTGGCGCAGAGACCGACAGCTTCTGCTCCGTCAGCGACCGTGGGCCCCCGCGACCGAGCTGCGTGAGGGAGTCACCCGCCGCCCCAAGGTTGTCCGCTGTGTGTGGGGACAGCGAGGCGGCCGACGTGGGTCGTTTGGCGGCAGCAGCTGCCGTACCGCATCGACCATCTCTGCCACTTACAACCCCTTGCGACGGGTGGTCGGGCCCCCAGATGGAGTGCGTCGAGAAGAGCTGTGTCATGGCCGGTGCATCGCTGTTGTGGCTCTCGTTGGCTGTGCTGTGCTGCGGATGTGGTGGGTTGTGCAGGCCGTTGTAGCTGTACGCGACTGGTCCGCTGGCGGAAGAGGTCTTGAGCGGAGCGCTCTGCGCCAGCGTTCCACTGCGGCTAGCGAAGTCGTTCGCGCTCGTGATGGTGAGCGCCGGGCCGAGAAGGGACGCGGTGGAGGCCGGCGCCACACCCGTCACGTGCTGCGGACCGCCATGCTGATCCAACCCACGTAGTTGATCCGGCAGAGGAGGGTTGAAGACGGCCGTAGAGCTGTTGTTGCTGGTGTTGCCGTTGATCTGCGGCGAGGCGGCGACGGCGGCCATGGAGGGAAGAGAAGCAGCAGTGGCGCTCTGCCATAAAGATGCGTTCACCGACAATTGCGACTTGGCGGATGCTGCTGCTGCTGCTGCGGCAGCGCTTTCGCCCGAAGCTGCCGATCTGTTCGGCTGCGGCCCCACGAACGACGGTGCGTGGCTCGCGCCAAACATGCTGGGCTGAGGGACGAGGTGCAGCACGTTGGCGCCCTCCACACCTGAGACCCACGCTGCACCTTTGCCGTTAACGCTGTTGCTGCTGTTCATGGAGCCCGACAGGACCACCCGGCTCGGGTCGAAGTACTGAGGCGCGCCTGCCGACATCATCAGAGGGGCACTACTGCCGCAGACGTTGCTGTTGCTGCTGAGATTCATGTGTGGGTGCGGCGGCGGTGGCGGTGGCGGTGGAGGTGGAGGTGGAGGGCCGCGGTAGACGATCCCAGATGGTAGCTCATTCAACGACGAGGACGGCACGTAGGAGACGGCCATGCTCGGCTTGCCGACGTAGCTGTTGCTGCTGTGGTTACTGCTACCTACTCTGCCGGTGCCGACCATCTGACCCTGGACGTAGTAAGGCGGCGCGTCCGCACCAACGTCGCTGTCGTTGTAGGCTCCCTGCGGCACGATAAGTGGGATGGCACCGGCAGCGTAGGCGCCGATGTTGCCGGCGAGCGCGGCGTCGGGTGGGGGTACCATGTACGGCAAGAAGGTACCGTTGTTGGCCATGAAGAAAGGCGGTGCAACTGGATTGCTCTGCATGCGTGCCCCACCTCGAAACACCGCGTTACCGTCGAAGCCATTGTCCCTCCCACCACCGCCATTGCCTGCATAATATGTGTTGCTGCTGTTGCCTTGCTGAAAGCCGCTTTTGTCGAGGCGGCCGGTGATGTACGGTTGATTGCTTGCGTTGTTGAGGCGTTGATTGAGTACGTTGCCGTAGCCGCCGATGTTGCCGGCGCTGTGGTGCATACTGGACATCGACGTGTTGCCCTGCCTGGCTTTGGTCCCTCCACCTCCACCGCCACCGCCGCCTGCCAGCACCGACGCGCGCTCCGCCGGCGTGAGGGTGGTGGTCGACGCAGCGTTCGAGGAGACGGCCCGCACGCCGATCAGCATGGTGCCGTAGCGGCTCTGGAACAACGCGTACTTGCGTCCATCTTGGTTCACAAAGAGTGGACGGTGGGTCCAGTACTCGGCCGGCAGGGCGCGCGCCTCCTCCGTCTCCGCCTGCAGCGCCCGCACGTGCTCAAGCAGACGGCCAGTGTGCACGCCGAGGTAGCGCGAGGCGCCGTCGGCGTCCATCTTGCGCCAGTGTGCGATCAGCATATCCTTGTTCTGCAGCACGTGCCGCAGTTGATCACACTCGTCCTTCAGCTTGTATTTCACCCAGCTGCCGGTGGGGAGGCACGTCGGGCAGTGGAAGAAGGAGCTGGCCCACATCGTTGCCTGCCGCACCAGCGCAGGGTCCAATGTGATCAGCACGGCAGAGTTGGGGGAGAGGGGGTAGCGCGCGAGACTTGTGCGGTCGGGCGCCTCGTTGCCGCGGTCGTGGGGAAGTGTGGACGAGTCCGCGGTGCTGTCTGAGGTGGTGGAGGTGGCCGTGGCGCTCTTCGGCACGCGCTCCGCCTTGCCAGCCTCGTTGTGCGCCTTGAGCGTTGTCACAGGGGTCGTGGCGAACAGCATTGGCTTAAAGGACGGCGTCTCGGCCAGGCCGGGCAGGTCTATCAGCTCCATCTTCGTCAGGCGCTGGTCCAGTACGATCTGGCAGTGCAAGAACGCAAAGTTCTCCGTCAGCGATTTCAAGGCGGAGTAGTTGTTGCTGGCGGTTTCAATCAGAACCACAATTTTCTCCATGCGGCGGCAGAAGGCAACGGTGATGGCGTCCTCATCGGTTTGGTCCAGTGGGAGGGAGGCAGGGAACGACGACGACAACATCTGCTGCTGCTGCTGCTGCTGCTGCTGTGTCGCGGGAGGTGGAAGACCGCTCGGTAAGCTGCCGGGGAGGCCGCCCTGTGAGCCGGCTATCGAACCGGGCAGCAGCAGCGGCGGGCTCCCGGCAGAGCCTGGCAGCGAGTCAGGGATCATTACCGCGGATGGCGTTGTCGGAACGCCGTTCAGCATCAACCCACCTTGCGGGTATAAAAGAACGTGCTGACCGCTGCCAAAGGAGGAGGCGGGGTCGTGCAGCGGCGAGCGCAGGAGCGACGGCGAGGTGCCACAGCAGGCCGCAGCCGCCACCGCGTTGGCCGATGCCGAGGCACTCGCCACAAAGCTGTGCTCCGCGGTAGACCCGTTGTGCGAGGCGCGGCCGAGGCTATTGATCGAGGACGGCCGCCGCGGCGGCTCGTTCGAAGCGGCGTTGATGTAGTGTGTCGGCTTGTAAATCCCACGCGGGATCGCCGGGAGGGGGACTTCGAGCAGGGGATCGAAGTACGGCAGCTGCACGCCGTCCGCTGACACTGCTTGGGCACCCAACACAGTGCTGCTCGTGTGCGGGATGGCCAGGACGCCCTGCAGGTAGTACATCATCTGTGTGTCCACGTCAGACATGGGCTGTTCTTGCTGCTGCTGCCGGCGCACAAGCTGATCGAGTCTCGCCTGTAGGAGGTGGCGGCGACCGACGGTGTGAAATTGTTGACGCAGCATGACGGCGGCGAGTACAAGGACGCGCTCCAGCGTGCGGTCCCCCGCCGAGGTGAGGATGGCGGTATTCAAATACATGGTCGACCTCGTTTCCTTAGCGCCCTCCGCCGCGTTCTTCTTCTTCAGCTCCTCGTCCAGCGCCGCCTCCGCGGGGGTGGTGGTGCGCTTCACGACTTTAAACGCGTCCTGCATGGCGGGGGTCATAAGACCAAAATAACCGATGATGTTCACGACCCGACCCTCCAGTGAGAAGGCACCGTCGCGCTCTTTGCTGTCCGGGTAGGCGAGACACAACGCACACGGCACAGGGAGAAAAGGACGCCGTGCGTCCCCGCCGCGCCCCGCTTTAGCTCCGGCAGCGGTGGACGACGGGGTCGACTCCCCCACGCCACCATCACCACCGCCGCGGTGGGCATCGCTGATCGGGTCCGCCGCCAGGAGGTCGTCGTTCGTGTCGAAGAGGGTTTCCTCGACGAGCGCCAAGAAGCGGTCGAGGTCGTCCTCGGAGAAGTTATCGTGCGGCATCACACTCCAGTACTCGCGCCGGAGCAGCTCCTCCTCGTGCAATGCAGTTCTGCTGTCTCTCCTCGGCCCTTTCATTTCTTCATCGTCGGCCACCGTGGCCGTCGTCGTCGTCGTCGTAGTAGCAGAAGACGGTGTCACAGGTGATGCGGCGCTGTTCAACGTTCGTTTCGCCTTCTCAAAACCGGCGGCGTGACTGCCGGAGTGGTTAGGCGAGGCACTCGCCGCTTGTTCATGCGTCGACGACGTGGCGGTGGACGGCTTACTCCTCCCCTCCGACGCCGAGTTTTCCTTGTCAGCGTCCCTGCGGAGGAGGCTGTCCATGATGTTGTCCACGGCCCGCCCATTCGCGTAGAGCACCGCCGGATCGCGACGCATGAGAAGAAGCTGCTGACGAAGCTGATGGCGCAGCCGATCTCGCGCTGCGGCGGTCGGGGAAGGCGACGTGGACGAGTACGTGCCGGTTGTGCCGTCCGCCGCCCCCTCCGCTGTGGCGTCGCTACCAAAATAGTACTTCGTAAGAGGCACCATCCCCACCTCGTAGCTTCCACGGAAGTACGAGAAGAGCGAGGTGGACTCGCGAGAGGGTACAGCTCCCATTTTCCTTCTTTTTATTTGCAGGAAATAATAATAATAATAAGATCGAATGTACCGTCGTACACCACCTTTTGCTCAGAACGTACTGTTGTTATCTGTATATATGTATTTATATAGATGCTTTTCAATTTCCCTGTTCTCTCGTGTTGCTGCGGATAGCAGGTGAGGTGAAGAACGACGACCACACACACACACACAGACACTTCTTGACTGTTTTTGTTTTCTTCTCTCTTTTACTCGTATTGCGGTACGAACTCTCAGGGCACACACACGCGGCCTATGCTGCTGAGCGAGGAAGGGGGAGGGAGGGGGGTGCAATAGAACGAGGAAGAAAGGCGGAGAGGGAGAGAACAACAGCGAAAACAATAATAATAATGATAATAAAACACAGCAACAACGACGCAGGCGCCGTCACCACACACGCAAAAGACCGTTGCGGAGCCTCACCGGAAAAAAATGGACGGTATGAGAGACAAGGAGAAGACGAAAGTAACCACTAATTGAAACGGTCTCGGATACCTACACGAGTAATAACAAATATAATACTAATAAACACTGTAAGAGAGAAATAGGGAGCAAGGCAGAGATGAGCAAAAAAAGTAAAGAAAAAAATTGCGTGGGAGAGCGAATCCGCAACCGCACACACACACACACACACAAACAAACGCTTCAGGCCGATTCGACGCAGCGCTCACGTGAAAGGAGACAGAAGGAAGAGGAGGGGGGGGGAGGAGGAGGAAGGAGGAAGGATTTATTAACGCAAAAAACAAGAAGAGAAAATACAGTAAGAAAGGAGTTAGCGCTATCAGGGGAATATTTATGGATTATAGATAGATAGATATCTAGATAAGCAAGAGATCACTATACGGTGACAACCAAAATAATAATAATGGTAAACAAGAAAGAAAGGAAAAAAGGTCTTGCCTCTTCGTTGCCCAAAAAACACCGTGCGGGGGAAGGCGTAAAAGACAGCGCGTAGGGCGAAAGAAAAAACCCAAATGCGTTAGAGGTGTGCGTTTTCTCCTCTTCTCTTTCAAACACACGCACACACACACTCTCACAGAAAACAGATGGCAACCTCAGGTGAGGCAGGTATTGTGTAACTTTTGATAAGCTGTGAGTGGCTGACAGAAGACACGACACACAACAGAAAAGAAGAGGAAGAAGAGACAAGAAGGAGGCGGGCAGCTGAAGCAACAACACGAGCGTAGCAATTAGAGAAAGAGAACAACAGGAAAAGCGTAGAAGAAATAGGAGAGAGAGAAAGTCAGCAAACCGACACACACACGCACACACACCCAACACAGTGAAGAGGAGAAAATACAAATGCTAACTCAAAAGGTTCGAAAGGAAAAAAAGAGTGTACGGCCTTGTCGGTTGTTGCTGGTTGTGGATGTTGCGTGTTCTGAAGGCGTTAAACGAGACGCCGAGAAAAGGAAATAAACGACACCGCAAACACGGCGGGCGGGAGTTGCAGGTGAGGAGACAAGTATTGTGCTTTGCTTGCTTTTGCTTTTGTCGCCGTGGAAACAGGTGATTACGTCAAAAAGAGATAAGAGGAAAAATAATAGTGAAAAGGAAACCGATGCCGATTCTCCCACAATACAAACAAAGCAAACGTTGCCTACAGCAAGTTTGCAGTCGAATTCTCTAGCTCAAGGAGCACCGCCTCCAATAAAGGGAACAGGTTTTTTTTTTTAAAGGTGCTGGCTATTAAATCTGTGTAAAATAATAATAAAAAGAGGCGTTTAATTTCATGTAGCAGTTGAAAGAGTTTCGCCTGATGTGCGTCAACACGTGTTGGGGGGGGGGGGAAGTGTTCTCCCTTGCGCCCTCTCGAGGAGCCTCCTGCTTTCCTTCTTGGATACCTTAGAGTAAGGGAGGCGAAAGCGAACTATAAAAGAGAAAAGAGAAATGGAAAAAAAATCCGACTAGTCTCTTGACTTCTATTATCTTCTTTTTCCGCTTCGCGCTATTACACCGTCGTCACCACAGTCTGGCGCACTCGCTTGCCGTCTCCGTGCCGGAGAAAGACAACCACCGATGTGTGAAAGCAGAGACAACACACAAACAGACAACACCAAAAATATGTCAAACGAACAGAAGTAAGTATGATCCGCTGGTGCGTGAATATCGTACCCGAAGCAACTCGACCGCCCCCACACAGGAGCCCGTCGGCCAATACGTGAAAGAGGCGAAGAGAGAGAAGGGGAGGGAGGAGATCGAGCTGAATCGCAGAAAGGCAATGGCGGGCAGAGAGATAAAATACAAAACGCACACACGAGCTTCTGTGCGATCAGAAGAAAAGGTCTCTTTATTTTTTTTTTATGTCTAGAGAGCGTGCAGCAGAAACAACAACATCAGCGTGGGAACTCAACTTCACTTGCTGAGCTACAGTAAGAAGAAAATATGGGAGAGAGGAGAAGGGAGAGAGAGGACAACAGGATGAGCAGGGCAAGGTTTGCGCTGGCTATAAACCACAACGAAAAGAGAAGAGGAAGTTTCAACGAACACGCGCAAAAAAATGATCTGGCCAGTGTACGTATCAGTGGCTCACATACAGGTCCGAGTACGGTATCGGCTACTACTACGCACGCTACGTTGTGTTTCAATCCGCGCTGTTGTGGAGAGGACAAGGCACAACGAAAAAAAAATAAACGCAGAGACGCCACACACAATGGGTTCCCGGTGTGTGAAGCGGTCTTTTGCCCTTCGTGGGTGTCGGTATGAATGCGAAGGAGAAAGCACAGAACTGCTATTCAAAAAGGTATTTCTGAAACCCTTTGGACAAGAGTTCTGCTTTCCCTACTCGTCTAGAGAAGAAGGAAGATACACACGCACACACACGAAAGGAAAGGCTTCGAAAAAGCGGAGTACTGACGTCAGTTTGGTGAGTCAGCAAAGAACAAAAAAATGGAGAAATAAGTGGAGCGTAAACAACAGAAAGGAGGGAAAAGCGCGAAGAACAGAAAAGAAGGTGCGATCAGGTGATGGAAAGAAAGATAAGCTGAAGGAGGACAAACCACAACCACAAAAAGTATCGCTGATAAATCAAAACGAAGACAGAGACTGAACCAACAAAACAAAGACAAAGGCAAAGAAGTTAAACAAAGGAGGTGTTGTACACCCCCTTCTGCGGATCCTCCTTTGGTTTAACGCAAGCAAAGCAGTTCAAAACAACCGAAAAGAAGAGAAAAAAAAACGAAGAAGAAACACTAGCGTGTTCAACTCGCTGAAACAACGACGACAACACCACCACCAACAAGAAACGATTCTCCCGATAATGTTGCAGAAAAGAAGGAGGGAGAGAAGGAAGAAAAAGACAGAGGTGAACTTCCTGAGAAGCACGTAGGGCAAAACGTGGCGAAAAGAAGAAGAGGAAACTCGTTTTGCGAAAGGACTTTTTTTAAAGTAGAAAAGTGAACAGTAGAGAGATTTTGAAACACGTCTTACGCGGAGTGGATTGTACGTGCGTGTGTGCAGCTGTGTTTCGTCACAAAGCCAAGCTCTGGTGGACGCATGCGTATTATACTGAGGTGTGTGTGCGTGTGTGTGTGTATGTGTGTAGGTAGAGGGGTGAGGGGAAACCCCCCAAACAACAAAAAGATCAGCGTGTATAAGGAGAGAGAGAGAGAGAGGGAAATATGTAGCAGAAAGAAAAACTCAAGAATGATGCATGCGTGTGTGTGCACGTGAAGAAGCTGCGTACCGTAGACGCACCTCATTTATCACTGCAACGGCCAACATCGCCTCATGCTCCTCCGTTCAACGGCAAGGGGACGGTTCCCTCTTCGTTTCCTTCCTTCCACTCGTAGTTTGATTCAGCCCTCCCCCCTTTTCTTCAAGGAGGTAAAGCACCGCGTCAACACATGAAAACAACAAGAAAGCTTCCAGAAAAACAAAAGAAGACCTTTCTTTTTCACCTTCTCTCCTTTTTTCTTCTTCTTTTCGTTGGTACACGGAAATGAAGATTTTTCTCGTTTTGCAGTACGAACCAAACAGTGAAAGGAGTAGATGTTTTTGAAAGAAAATAAGAAAGATAATAATAGTAAGTGCTTCAAAAATTAAGATTTGAGGACGTCTACAGCTCCGATTCATCGCCCTCATGTTCTGCCAGCGTGATTATACCGAAAGACAACGCAGTAAGGCCCCCCTCCCCTCCAATACACACACCAGAATACATCCACACAGATTTCCTGTGCTTTATACGAAAGAGTGAAAAAAGAATAATTGGGAGGGACGAGACACATAATGGTGTCGATGTCGGACACGTAAAATGACAAAAAGAGAAAACACACACACACACACAAGAAGGAAGGGAGATAAACAACGAGGAACCACACTGCGCTTCTGACACGTACACTCATATATATTAGTAGTAAGAGTGTGAAAGAAGAGAATACATTTACATGAGAAAATTAAACCGCAATAATAATAGTAGTAGTAATGAAGAAGAGCTACTCGCCCTCAAAAAGAAAAAAAAAGAAAAGAAAAAAGAATCACACCCATCGTAGCTTTTAGAAATTCTACATCCACCTGTGACTGAATTCAACGCAAACACAGCAACACCAACAGGTATTAACAGAGAAAGGGGCGATGACACCCGAAAAGAAAACGAAGAGACACGAATACCTCCCAGGCAGAGGTGTGCGACGACAGTGTTTGCAGCAAAAGAGAAGAAAAATAATAATATTCGAAAAAGGAGATCCGAAAAACATAAATGGCAGATGATGAGAACACATAAGAAGCTTCCAGCTCTTATTCTGTGTGTCTTTTTTTGTTGTTTTGGTTGTTCTGCGTAGTGACCAATGAGGCAGCTGCAAGAACGCCCCAAATCATGATCATAATAACAATAGAAACGGCTACAACAACGAAAGAAAAAAAAACCGAATAAAAAGAGAAGGGAGAGAGAAGGAGGTGGAGTAAGAGAGGAGAGAAGAAAAAAAAAGAAAAAAAAAGAAGGCAAACTAAACCCAGCCGATTCTTGCATCAACGTGTGGTGGTCAATATGTGTGTAACCGGAATAGTTTTGGTATTCTCGGCGAGGAAAAAACAACTCCTGTGGTACTCGCAAAGATAACAGAAACGGCCTACTGGCGCAAACCAGCAACAAAAAGTTCTTCTTCTTCTCGTCCCTTCCTATCGTTCGTATTACGGAAAAAGTCCTACGCTTTTCGGTACGCTGGATGACATCCATAACACACTCTCTGTTGAGTCTCCATGGATGATGACCAAACAATCAAACAAGCAGACAGCAACAACAGCAACAAAGAAAGAAAGAAACGAGGATGAGTGGGAAACACGCATGACGTGCATGATGTTCTCTGTTGTCGCTACCCCGTTCCCATGTTTTCTTTTTTCCCCTTTCAATGAACGCGCTAAAAACAAAACAAAACACCGTTGAGAAGGATGAGAACAAACAAACAAAAAATCTGCACCCCAACGCGAAGAAGGCAAGAAGAAGAAGAAAAAGGTTTATACGCGGGATGATGGCAGGTGGCTAACGGAACGTATCAAGCGGAGTTCCCCCGCAACGTACGCACGGCTTTCCTCATACAAAGCATCAGAACGAATACGCATAAAGAGAAGTCAACAACTAACCACCAGTACAGCACGAGTAGTAATAGAACTAATAATAATAAGAATTAAAAGCAACCCCCCTCCACACACACACAGACACGCTAAAAAAAGAGGAAAAAAGAAATCCAAGGAACGGCGCACCAGCGCAATCCCTCGCACTGCCCTTATGGGGTGGGGTGGGGTACTAAATAATGATAGAAACAAGGAAAGAGTACGGAATACGTTATGTCGCACACACATGAAACAAGCAAACAAACAAACAAAGAAAAGACTCATGAAGCACACAAGAGGAGAATTAAAAGCGAGAAAAAATCAACAACAACAACAACAAAAAGGAATGGCGTTTTCTTTTGGTGTAAACTAAACTAAAAATTTGTTTGTGATGGGTGCTCACGCGCCCGCTCGTCTGCGTAAAGAGAGAGAGAGAGAGAGGGAGAGAGGAGGGAAGAGGAGCACGACAAGTTACGTATGAAAGAAGCAACAACAACCAGAAAAAAAAAAGAGAAGCGAAAACAGGCGGACAAAAAGTCCTTTCTCCATTCACACCGGAAAAGAAAAGAAAATACAATCCATACGTCGCGCAAGTGAGCTCAGTTGGCTCGGGTGAAGAAAGTGAAAGAACGAACGAGGAAGTTATTTGCTCATAGGAGCAGCGATGCCGACTATTGTTGATGTTATTCTTGCTTTGTCACAAGACGAAGAATAAAAAAAACAAAAAACTCGTTAGCGGCTCTTCGAGTCTGGTCAATCCAGCAGGCGAAGCGCGTTGGCAACTAACTCACTTTCTTCCGACAGATTTGCTTTCCGCGCTGCCCGCCGCCGCCTCTGCGACCTCGTTAGACGCACACTAGACGGCGGCTGTGGATTTACCTGCGGCGTGGAGGCGGCAGGTGGTGGCGTCGTCGGCACGGCGGGGGACGGGTCGGTCAGCGAGGTGTGCATCGGATACGAAGGTGGCGGTGCCGGGTGCGCCTGGACGTTCACGTCCGGCATCGTATTTAAGCTGTCCCCTGGGCGATACATTTGCTGCTGCTGTGCTGCGGCTATTGCAGTGGTGGGGGCGTCGAGGTTCACCGTGACCGCAGCGGCAGCAGACGCGGACGCCGCCGCCGACGTAGCGGGCATCGTCGGTGGTGGATAAAAAGGATACTGCACGGAGAGTGGCATCGTCACGGTGGGCATGGGCGCTGGGTAGACTGGCTGAGGGGCGTGTAGCGGCGTAATGTAGCTCGCTGGCGCGTAGCTGGTGGCGGGTGCGTAGTACACCCCTCCACCGCCTGCACCACCGGGCGGCGCAAGTGGGAAGAGCTGCGGTGTGGGCTGCTGCTGCTGCTGCTGGGGAGGCGTTGGTGGATTCGGGGGTAGGACGGGGTAGCTGCCTGACCCTGCGGCACCGGACGCGATGAAGGTGGGTTGTTGTTGTGGGGCGAGCGCAGAGCTGCCGAGGCCAGATATTTGGTAAGGGGACAGGAACGCCGCGGTGTTTCCGGGGTCCATCGGCGGACTTGATCCGAGGGCGAGGGGCACTAAGGACTGCTTGCCATCGCTACCGATCTGCAGAAGGTAGGTTCCAGCTGCCCCACCAGTCGTCGCGGCAGGCGCGCTGCTTGGCGGGGACGGCGGTAGCGGCGGCGGTGGCGGTGGACCGAAGGAGCTGCCGGACGATACGAGACTTGTAATGGAGGACGACGGCGGCGGTGGGTGTAGGAACTGTGGCACCACCCACGGCGCCCCAGACGGCGTGGTGGGCACGGCGATGCCACCGATCGCCTGCAGGTACATCTGCTGCAGCGTCTTCTGGGTCAGGTACGCCGGTGCACTAGAAATCGGGTAGATGCCATGCGTGACGGCGGAGTAGCTCGGCGGCGGTGCGGCATGTGCTCCTCCTCCTCCTCCGCCTCCTCCTCCCGCTGCCGCCGTCGCAGAGGACGGTGCTGCGGCGTTGGCGTTCTTCTCTCGCGTGTCTGGCTGCTTTGACGAGGCCGGCATCGACGGTGCAGGTCCTGCTGTTACTGTTACTGTTACTGCTGCTGCGCCAGTGATGGCTGCGTGACTCGATGAAGCTTTCGGCTGACCAGAGGACGCATTCGTCAACCCTTTTGTTGTTTCTACGCCTCCTGGACTTGCCGCGGTGCTCAGCTGCGAAGGCGCCCCCGCTTTGCCCTCCCGTGGACTTTTCGCGTCGCCGCTGGCGTTCGTCTTGCGTACTGGGCTGGCAGGTGCGATGGATTTCGATTCACTGCGCACTCGCTGTTGCTGTTGCTGTTGCTGCTGCTGCTGCTGCTGCTTCCGTGATGGATTCCCCCCACTTCCCTTGCTGGTTTCGCCCTTTGGCTCCTTGACGGTCGTCAGGAGTGGGCCACAGAGCGGCGAGATAAATATGCGGTACAGCTTTGCGTCGTAGCTGTGCTCCTGCACGGGTGCCCACGCCTTGCTATCCTCCGTCGACGTCGTGCGGGCTCGCACAATTTCGCTGTGCAGGCAGTCCAGGTGCTCGAGGAATATACGCGTCGTGGTCTCGTTGCCGAGGACTACCTTGGCGGTTGGACTCATTTCCAGCCACTGCTGCACGCGTCGCTCGCGAGACTGCGCGTAGTCGTTCAGCGTGTACTGCACCCACGAGTCCCGCACCGTCGGCAGCTGCATCTGTGTCGCACTCCACAGCCACGTGTAGGCGAGCAGCCGACCGGGGAAGAGAAAGGCCAGCCCCCGCTCGTCTTTTTCGCGTTTGTAGGTGCAGAGCCGCATGAGCTCCTTCGGTCCGGTGCGGCCCTCATCGATGCTGATCGCCAGCGCAGAGAAGTCAAAGATGAACTTTAGTGTGGGGTAGTTGTTGAACAGGCCGAGGCACAGCAGCGGGAACTTGCGCATCCGCTCGAAGAAGAGCGCGTTGGCGATGGAGTTGGGCCGGTAGTTCGGCTCCGCGCTGGCTGTTGCTGCGGTGGTGGTGGTGGCGGTACCAATGGGCAGCGGATTGGGGGGATCGAGCGGGGACTGTGGCTGTGGTAGCAGCGGCGATTGTGGTTGTTGCTGTGGTGGCTCGTCCGGTGTCGGTGGCACCTCGCGCAGCAGCCCGCGCGCCTCCTCGCTGATGTCCTTCAACAGCGCAGACGCCGGCCGCCATTGCAGCTCCTGCAGCACTACATCGGTAAAGCCGTCCACGAAGGATTTCGAGGCCAACGCCAGCACGCGCTCCAGCGTCCGATCCCCCGCCGCCTTCACGATCCCTTTACGTATCTGCAAGACCGGCAGGGCGTCGTCGCGCCTGTCCTCGTAGGTGCGCAGCCCAAAGAAGCCGATCACATTAATGCGATGCCCCCGAAAGGCGAAGCAGTCGTGCTCTTCGCGGGTGCTCATGTAGATGAAGACCACCGCACACGGGAGGGGGCGCACGGAACGCTTGAAGCGCCGGTACGCCACAGACTGAAACAGATCCTGCAGCGCGGCAGCCCTTGCGGCGTAGTCGGTGGGATCGTTCGTCTCCACTTCACGGCAAAACCGCTGCAACTCCGCTTTTAAGCTCAGAAACGTGCCCTCCACGTTGCGCGGCGGGGCGTGCGCTGGGGCGGCCATCTCCTCGCCGTCGGTATTCGTGAAGCACAGTTCGGGAAGCGGAGGCGATTCGGAAGGGGCCGCACTCGCAGCGTTCGACGTGCCTTTATGGGCATCGTCTTCACCTCCGCCTGCTGATGCAGCGGCAGTGGTGGTGGTTTGCACTTTATTGCTGGCCGTGGCGCTGTCGTCGTCGTTGTCAGTGTTGCTGTTTCTGTTCTCTAGAGTAGATGCCGCTGCTGCTGCGACCTCAGAGTGCTGCTTCGCGTCTGCCGCGGTGGCGCAGCTGCCTAGCTGGGGATCAAAGGGGTCGATGAGGCCTTCGCGTTGCAGAATCCGCTGCATCTCGGCCACCGTGAAGGACGCGACGGGGCCGGCCCCCGCGTTGAGGAAATCCGCGTTGGTGTCGAAGAGGGACTCCTCGACGGAGTCGATCAAGGCGTCGAGGTCCTCCTGCGCGTACGAGGCTGGCGGCAGCTCATCCATGCTGTAGCCCGCGGCACGCATGTGGCAATAGCGCACATTTGGATCATTGCGTACGCGAATCAGCTGCCGGCACAGCTCGGGGTTTTCGTCGTTGAAGAACTCACGAGTTAAGGGGATAAGCCCAATCTCGTGATTGCCGTAGCGGAGCGTGCGTATGCTGCCGGCGGCTTCCCGCGAAGGTAACACACCCATGCCGCTGATGCACCGCCCTCCGGTTTCTTCTGTATGGCGTGGACTCGCGAGGGACTTCAAAAACAAAACAAAACGAGAAGGAGGAGGAGAAGAAACGCAAGCGTGTAGATGTTATACGCGAACACGCACAAACACACACACAGCAACAAACACAGCAACAAACAAGCAAACGAAGAAGCAGTGGCTGTCGTACTCAGCAAATACAGCAAACAGAAGAGAGATGTTGATGTCGCCAAAAAGGTACGAGCGTACGAGAAAGAAAAAATAAAGTGAAGCAAAGCCGGCGTGGACTCCTACCGTTGTCCTTCCCTGACCTTTTTCTTTTTAAATGTTATTATTATTATTCAACAACCAAGAGAACTCACGCACTTGCAATGTAAGTAAATAAAGAGGATATATATATCCATGTAAGTCGTTTACAAACGGAGGAGGAGAGGAGAGAAGCGCTACGACGAAAAGACGGACCCTTGAAAAGAGAAAAAAAAAAAGCTGCGTTACCCAGAAAATGCAGCAACAAACTCACAAGAAGGAACACACATATATATATATATATATCTTTAGAGAGAGAGACCCAGAAGATTACCGAGGTTTCAACGAAACCACGCACACAACGGCACTAACACACACACAGACAACGATAAGCGAGTAAGTTGTCAGCTCAGGGAAGTGCAAGTGACGCAGGTGCCGTACGCGTGCAACAGAAATGTCAACGCAGCGACGACACAGGCCGTAAATGGTGTTGCTGGAATATATATATATATATATATATATATTTATTTATTTATACATCAATTAAGAGGGAATAAAGAATAGAAATGTGAAGAAAAATAATACAAAAGCAGCTTCGACGAGATATGTGGCGAAGAAAGATGACAAACAACGACGACGAAGCAAGAAAAAGAAAAAGAAGAAATTACCTTTTAAGGCACCAAGCTGGTATTAGGAAGTAAGGCACGCCAACGTCTCGCTAAGCGTGCGACGAGCGTCAGAGCGTTCGATTCGACGTAAACCGTTGTTATTGTTATTCTCTGTTGGCTCTCCTTGCCCGCAACTCCGCGTTTCTCCCCCTATTATTTTATTCTTCTGCCTTTCTTTAATTAAAGTGAAAAGGCTTCACTGCTTTTGATAAAGAGCGAACGCAAAGAGTACCGAGGGACTGTCGCGAAGAGGGAAGGATAAGGAGACGCACACAGTGGAAAGACAATATTAATAATAAGAAGAAAAGACGGTGATGGTGAGAGGGAGAACAAGAGAGTCTGTAGAAAGAAAAAGAGGGAAAGCACAATAACGCACACTCAAGCAGCAGCAGCAGCAGCCGTACCGTGTAAGTCGTCGCTGCAACGCTGCTGGTCGGGAGACAACAGCTTGTGATCAAGGAGAGAAGGGCGTTATGGGCTGGGGAGAGGGAGGGAGAACGTTTTAGAAGGCAGCGTGGCGAACAAGAAAGGGAAATTGAAGAGGAAATTTAAAGACGGAGTAAAATACTTGAGGTATCAAAGGGTGGAAAAAACAAAAAAAGGAACGAAACGAGGACCAGAACACACACACACACACACAACTGACAGCAGCAAGGAAAACAAAAATAGCTAGTGATGCGTCCGTAACGAGGTTCCCGCCGAGGGAGAGGTCAACAGTGCGGAGGGAAGGCGCCAGTTATGTAGATATACAAATATGTATATATTCTTCTGTTCCACACCTGCTATGGCACTCTCCGAAAAAAAAAAAAAACAGCGATTGAGTTTGCGCAGGAGGCACGACCGTAACGACACCGCACCACAGCACCTGCAATATGATGCAATTCGCGGTGTAAAGAGAGAGAAAAATAATTAAAAAACAACAACAGAAAGAAGAAGGTTAAAGATACGAAACACGAGAGAATGGCACAGTGTACAGCAGAGCGATGCGTCGTATTTTTCTTTCCAGATATTAATGTTCCGAAATAATAATAGTAATCAAAATAAGGAGCTAAGGGAAGAAGGGAGACGAAAGTGGGGAAGCAAAGAGGAAGAAGAAGCAAAGCACCGGAAAACAAGAAGTAATATTAATAAAAGCCCAAACACACATCCACATCCACACACACACACAGCAGAATGAAACGTAAGGCCGCTGCTCGTGTTCTTTCCGTCAACCGTTCTTCGTTTTTGGGTTCGGAGCGAGAGAGAAAGAAAGAGAGGGAGGGAGGGAAAAAACAAACAAAAGAATGGCTCCGATACGAACCACAGGGCACCTGAATAAAACACCGAAGTTTACAATATATTTTATACATGCATTAATACTGATTTTTTTTGTAAAGCAAAACAATATATACGAGCCAAACCAGACGAACACGCCAACAGCATCTATGCGAGAGGTTCTCACGGCACCGCTTTTCTTCCCTTTTCCACGAGTAGAGAGAGAAGAAAATGAAAAGAGAAAGGCTAGGTTTGAGTACTACTTTTGATCTTCTTCGTATTTCAATATATATTATCCTTTTTTCCCCCAAAAAAAAACAGAAAAACACGATAGCCTCTTCCGTTTAGCTACACCTTTCAGACACGCCAGGAACTGCAGGTGCGTCGACAGCGGTGAGTGCAAGCACACGGTGGACTCCTCCTCAATAATAATAATAATAATAATAATAAAGAGAACACAAAAATGCGTCTTTACAGCATCCAAACAGGAGAAGAGACAAGTACGCACCTACCCGCGTACATCAACGCACACACACAGAGAGAAAATAAAAAATGATTAGGAAGACCACCGTTGGAAGATGAAAGAAGACGACACACGCCGTGCGAGTAGCCGGAAATGAAACAATCATAAATAATAATAATAAACTTGACCAGCCGCGGAGAAAGAGCGCAGATTCGCCCTCTTCTTTTTTTGTTTTTGATATCGTACAGGTTCTACCAAACACTGATTTCAATGAGGAGAAAATAATAATAATAGTCAAATAAACCAGCGGTGGCTACGCTTAGGAAGCCTTTTGCGACTAAGGGGTCAGAACAGTAGTGGGGGGCACAGAGAAGGCAGAGCCGAAGCAAACAAAAAAAGGAGCAGGTGACGAAGATCAAAGGTGCGTAGCCTTCACGTCGCTCCAGCATCAATTACGAAAGGGGAAAGAAAAAGGCCGTGGGAGAACAGGATTAACGTCTCCGAGGCCACTCGGGGTAGCGCAGGTTGGCGTGCCTGTCGTGATGAAGAAGACAAAACAACAACAACGAAGCGAACCTTTCCCGCACCGCGCTCCCTTCCCTTCCTTTCTGTCCTGCTTCTCCGCTGCTTCTTTTTGTTCTCTTTACTCTTCACGATTTACGTGGCGCTGAACACCCCTGAAAATGGTTAGCGTTTCTCGCCGAAAGCGGGTGAGAGAGAAACAAAAACAAAAGTAAGAACCCTCGCAGACAAGCGAATTACACCTGTCGAGGAAGAGCACTAAATATATATGAACGACACCCACAGACGCCCTCGATGCTTCGCGGGTCCAGTGTGAGCGAGCGTAAGGAAGAGGAAAGAAAAGAAAGAAAGAAAAGTCGATGCAAATCTGAGCAGTAACGTCGGGGGAGACAGATAAACAAATAATTCAAAAAAAAAAGAAGTGGGCGACGACGGAAACCGGAGCAGCGGCTGAAGAGTCCGTCCTAAATCGTACCTTGTTTTGTTTTGCGTGTATATGTGAAGCCGCTTCTTTCACGAAACACACACACACACACAGGTGGTAGATAGTGTTCTTGTCCGCTATCCTCTGCACACCCGTGAGGACGGGTGAGCGGGTTTTTGCGTGGGATGTGGAGATGCGCGGCAGCACAGAGACACATGTCGCGTGCGCAACGGAGGAGTGCGCGGCGGGAACAATTGTATTCAAAATGGGTTCAAGAAAAAAAAAAAGGGAAAGGCGGTAGAAGGCAGAGAGAGAGAGAGAGAAAAGGGGAGTTCAGAACAAAAAAAAAAGTGCACGGGAAGAGCGTTGCCGCGATCATGAACTCAGCGCCAATGGGAGGCGTGTCCCAGCTGTACACGCGGATTATCGTTGTACGGACGCGCCTCCACAACTTAAAAAAAACAGCGGTGGAAACGTTGCGAAAAGCACAGACTTGTCGATGTCTCTTCTCCGAAGCGTTCACAATAAATTCCGTTGAAAGCGACTAGAGTTGGTCAACATCCATAACACTACTGTTCGGGACCTAATCGTAATATCCTCCGCGTAGGTCTGTCGCGGAGAGCAGAAGCCAACGCTCTCTCTCTCCCTCTCCCTCGCGATGAACACAGCCGCCTGGCCCCTACTGATCCTACGAATCCTTTCGCTTCCTTTTTGAACTCGCAGCCTCGACAGATTCTCGTGTTTGTTTGTTTAAGTGTGTCCAATGGGACGTTATGCAGCCACAAATACCCCTCTACCGCAACATCGGCGTCAACAGCAACAACTACAGAACAAAGAAGAAGACGAAGAAAGCGGCAGCCTGCGTCATCATGCGTCCGCGAGAGGTGGTGAGAGGGGTGAGGAGCCATATTAATACGAATTAATAATAACAATAAAGACAGCCAGAAACCTTTTATTTGCCTACTTACTTGCTGCTCCCGACTCCGTACAACCTCACATCGCCGGATAACATGTGTCTGCTCGCCGCCAACACTACGAGAGAGAACAACAACAACAATAATAATAATACTCTCCCTAAAACAGACGAGAACACCACACTCAAAAATTGGTTTCCTAAAGAATGAAAGCATTCTCAGAAGAGAAGAAAAATCAAACAAACCAACGTAGCATCCGAAGTCACCTTGTGGGAGTTTCTCTTGCCCCCTTTTTTTCTCTTTTATAAACGCCCGAGCAACAACGTCACCACCCCCCAAACAAGTCAACGATGCACACCCGGGCCTGCAGGTATTTCAGGAGGGAGGGTAAATGCGACACACACACACACACCGCTCACAAGAAGAAGAAGGAGAGAGAGAGAGAAAGGAAAGAAAAAAAAACCGATCATCAACGAAAGCGCTCTACTTCACGGGACTCTGGTCTGGGTGGACGCTCACAGAAACGGAGATATATAAATATCTGCTCAGCCCAGCTGCTACGGTCCTCTACGAGCGTAAGCATGCGCGGTGAAAAATGAATACAGAGGAGTAGAGAGAGAGAGAGAGAGAGAAGACAGCAAAAAACAACAACAACAAAAAATAGAGAACAGGAATGAAAGGAGAGAACAACAGCAAAAATATAATATGGAAAGACGTCTTTTCCTCTTCTTCTTGTTTTCGTAGGGATCAGCAATCATGTATTCCACGAGTGCGATGGCCAGGCAGGTCTTCTTTTTTTTTTTCCGACCTACGCGGTCATTCCGCGTTAGGCGTCCGTCGTCGAATCTATGGCAACGGATGCCGCAAACACGGTACGGTGAGGTGCGTACGCGGAGCAATGAAGGCGACGAAGACGACATGATAGAAGAAAGAAGGGAGAGAAAGAGAGGGAGAGAAAAGAAACCTCACACCTTTCACATAGAGCAAACAAAAATAATAGTAGTAAAATGCCTCTGCTGCTTCTGGTCCGCCCTTCCTCTCCGTGACGAGAAACACAAAAGCAGCAACGTCTACTGCTTCCGTTGACAGGGTGGTGTACTCGGGAAAAGAAAGGCGCGCCCATCGAACGAAGACAGCAGAGAAGCGCAAGAGCGAGGAGAAGAGAAAAGAAAAAACAAAGAAAACGAAACGAAACATTTTTTTTCCTGTTTTTGCAGTGTTCACGTCCACGACGCACAGTTATGCACCGTAAGACATGCTCAAAAATAAAAACAGCCAAGAAAGTCAACAAGAGTTAAGAGAAAATGCGAAAGGATGGGGAGGGGGGTTCAAAAACGCAAGGTTATCTGCACACACGCACCCACAAGTACTACGCACTGATCATTCTCGTTTACCTCCCATGGAGCTCAGCGACCAAGCAGTGCGAGGGCGAGAGAGATTCCACGAGAGGAGGTGTTTGTGCAGCCGTTCCGAGAGCTGCACACACAGACACCCACAAAAAAGAAAACGATCCCGGGTAGTGCTGGTGAGTGTGGTCGTATGGGTCATGACCAGAAAACAGAGAGAGATAGAGGGGGAGGGGGAGGGCGGCGGTGTAAGAGCCATGAAAGAGCGTCCGAGACAATTTCTTTCAGTGCTTCCTTAGCAGAGCGGGATTTGTAGCAGCCACTACCCCGAAAGAGCTCTTGCTATACATATATTGTTTTCGCCCGTCTCCAACCCCCCTCCCCCCGCCTCCCTCACCTGCTTACGAGAAGGAGTGCAAAGCGAGATGATTTGCTTGGTTTTAACCTCCCCACCTTCCTTTTAAGAGAAGCCGAAAAAGCCACGAGAGAGAGAAGCAAGACAACAACAAAAACGGAAGAAGTTTATCAAGAATGAGCACCGTGACGAGAGGGAGTGTATAAAGGAAAAGGAAAAGGACGACGACGACGACGACGAGGGAAACACATAAGTATATATATATACAGATATATACATATATCAAGAAGAGGGACATTCCTAAATACAGCTCTACCAATTTCTGTTTCCATCGCGCGTGAAGGTATCATCCTCAAGCAAAGGCGAGAAAAAAAGAGAGAAAAACCCGACGACAAACACAATCAGATGAGACCGTGTTGTTGCGGTTACCCCGCTCGCGCAGCCTCCCATGCAGAGCCGTCCTTTCGACAAGACGACGATCGGCACAGTTTGACACACCCACGCGAAGCTGCATTGCAGCTACTGCGTCGCGGATGGCAGAAAGGCAACCACACCAACATGTAAATAGACGAAACAAACAAAAGATCAGATAAAGCCTTCGTTTTTTCTTCATATTTGTACCGAATCATGTGAGCTCGCTTTCTATGAAGTCCACGCATGCTTTTTTGGAAGCGCGGATAAGAGCGTCACAACAGCGGCACCAACAAAAAGGCACGAACACGTTTGTCACGAGTGCTCCGGAAGGGTTCTTGAGAAACAGAAAAACTATCGTTTCTGGATTTGATTTAAGTGGTTCAAAAAAAAACAACAACAACAGAAGAAGCGTAATAAGAGAAAAAAGGAGAAGGAGAGAGCAAATCGGATTCTACTTTGGTCTCCGCAGAGAACATTAGAAAAGAATTCCGTCAACGTCAATTTGCGCCTCCTTTCGTTCCCCTGTTTTTCTTCAGGTTGCCGACTTAACGCGGTAGCATCTCCTTCGTCCGATTCCCCTGCCTGTCAGCATTCAACGCACCTTTTTTAGCCCTCCCTTGTTGACTTTTCCTTTCACACTACTGCCGTTGGAAGCACCACCTCCTTGCGAGCTCGACGAGCAGCAGAAGGAAAAGAAGAAAGAAAAACAAACAAACCAAAAAAAAACCCGCTGCATCGGAGTAGCGTACGTCGTGCGTATTTACTTCTCACAGAGAAAGCGCAGGTGCCTCACACAACAGACAGAAGAAAAAAAAGGAAAGGTGAAGAAGTAAGGGAAGACAGGCGCGGACAAAAAGCTGAAGGGACGTGAACGAGCAAGAGGGACGCGATACCACGCGATGTCTGCCGAAGGGATTTTTGACAAAAAACAACTCGAATATATATAGAGAGAGAAAGAGAGAGAGAGCATGGACAGAAAGAGATGTCCTCGAAAAAAAGAGAAACCTTCAATAAAACAAATATTGAAAACAAGAGGAAATACGTGGCTTACAACAACAACAACGGAGAAAACTAGATGGAGATCACACGGCGATGTAATGTTTCTTTTTTGATGGTTTTTACTGTTCTTGGGTTCTGGTATTTTCTTTTCTTTTTTAAATATTTCTTGTTGTTTTGTTTTGTTTGTTTCTATTGATTTGCTCGGCTGCATGTATGGCTTCCGGTTGGGTGCAGCGGCGCAGTCGCGGCTTCGCATCGAAGAGAAGAGAGAGGTGTCGTCACGCAGCTCACTTTCAACCTTCCCATGCACACCAGAGCGTCTCGTGCGCTTGTTTGGTTGTGTGTCGTTCAGAACCACGTCTCATCTGCCACGGCTCCAGAAAAAAAAAAGTAAGGGCGCAACGCTCCCAGCACAAAGAACGGCGGCGAGAACGGCATAAAGCACAAAAAACGGGAGGAAAGAACGGCGAGGAGGAGCGAGAAGGGATGCAGGAGATTGACTTGACCACATCCGTTGTGGCCAGTCACATCAGCGCAGATCCTCTCATCGTCTTCGTCAAACAAAAGAAGAAGAAGAAAAGAAATATATTAATGTTAGATCTGATCAAAAGCTCAGATCGTTGATGGAATACCCTCTCTCTTGTTGTGTACTCCCGCCCGCTTCGTCACGGCAAAAATCACTGTTATTCTTTGCCTTTTTTCTTTCTTCGCCTTATTTCGTCGTTCAGACACGTTGTTTTAGCGGAACAGCAAATCGGCGAAAAAGGAAAGGTCGACAGTGGTCGCAACGTACCCGAAGCGGCGATAGAGTACAACACAGGGTACGCCAGAAAGAAGGAGGAGTTGAAGGGGGAAGAAACACACAACAACAGCAAAAAGAGAAAAAAAAAAGGGAATGTCACGCATCCAAAATGTGATGATGCAAGACGCACGGGTCAGTTGACCATCAGGTACAATGAATGTGTGCAAAGGAAGCAAAGGAAGAGAGAGAGAGAAAGAAAGAAGAGAACACCATATTCGTAGCTATACATATGGCCAAATGGAAATCAAGCAAAAGGAAAGAAAAGTAGAGGAACACGTGGGACAGTGCGCTCATCGCCGTTGCGGCGGCTTCATGGAGACTCAAGCGTGGAAGGAGGAGGAGGAACTCAACAGATTTCTCTTTTCTCTTTTCTCCCTTTCTTTTTTCATCTCCGCGAAGCCATCCAGTTGCACAGTGAAAGGATACGCACTAGTTCGCAGAGACGAAGATACAATAATAGTAATAGAAAGAAAAAAAAAATACAGCGACATACGAAATAGAGGTGGCGTTGAATACAAAGCGAGAGAGAAGGACGACAGCAACGACAACAAAGAAGAGCCATCACTTTCGTGGGTGCAGGTAAATCAACGTTCTCCGTCTCGAGAAGATCAACGAGTGCTACGCGCAGCCCTCCACCCCCCTCCCCCCTCCCCCCCTTACCACCCACACACAACAAAGGGTATATCAGACCGCGTTGATCGTATACATGCAAACCTGTGTCTTTGCTGGGGGTTTGGGAAAGGGGCAGTTGGATCCAGCTCGTACCGTGGAGACGTGCGTGCGGCACTAAGATATCTTCTGAAACTGTGAGGCCCCGTGCGAGAGAGAGAGAGCGAGAGAAGAGAGGTCGGCGGAGGGGGGGGGGAGATGCCAAAGCATTTGGCTGGTTGAAAGATGCGAACCCAAATAATAATAATTATATCGAGGCATTGTTTCCTTCGCAACACGTTGATGCACGCAGAAAACATTCAGAGACGTGCGACAGCGTCACGGTGCGGAGAGACTTCATCAGTAACAATAACATCCACAACAACACAACGAGTGCTTTAAAACGACGAAGAGGAGGAGAAAAAAAAACTGCAACGTGAGCAACAAGAGGAGTGCGATACGTGAAGGTGGGGGGGGGGAAGGGAAAAGAAGATAGAGAGGAGCGCGTGTGTGTGTATGTATATCTCTGTTACAGGTTATTCCTTCTCAGAGAGAAAGAAAGAGAGAGAAGAAAAAGAAAACACCTTCCTCACAGAGAACACACCGAACAACAACAGCAACAGAAGAAGAGTACATGATGCGCTCGCATTGCTTAATACTCGTATTATTTTCTTCGTTTCTTGTAATGTGCACGCTCAAGAAAGGTACACAGGCGGTGAAAAAAAGAATACTAATAGAAAGCAAGAAAGGTGAAGACGAATAACAGACAAGAGGAAGCAACCTACTTAATAAGGCACAAACGGAAGGGAAAAGAAAAAGAATATATATACATATAAACAAGTGGAGAAACAGTAATAGAGAATCGCGGGCATCAGGCCACGGCTTCCCCTCCCCCCACTTCCCCAACCAACCACGTACTTTTCCTTTTCTCTCCCCGTGTTGACGCCATGGAAGTCTTCCTTCTTCATGTTCTTGATATAACTTCATACCGAATTCCAATTTCTCACGTTCGGGTTTGCAAGAACGGACATCGGATTTTCTTGCTCTCCCCCTCCTCTTTTTCTCTGTATCCCGAACGAGACAGTTTTCGCGTTCCACTGCTTCTCCCTTTTAACCCCATCCAACCCACTTCTAGCACCTCCGCTTTTGACGGAAAAAAACAACAACAATACACAATCTTAAAGAGAATCAGGAAGGATATAGAGATGGCGCGGAAGGCAAGGAAAAGGCCAGTGCTGCTTACAACCTCCACCTTTTCCGGCGTGCTTCCTCCGCGTACTTGACGCTTTCCCTGAATCTCCGTGACTTCCACCGTCATGAGCACACATGCCTGTGCAAGCGCACACGTTTGCCTGGTCGATTGCCGCCTGCGTTTCCGTCTCTTTTCTGGTGTTCTGGGTGACCGCCTTGCCGGTGTGTCTCTCTGTGTGTGTGTGTTTGTGTGAACGGAGGTGTTTACGCAGGGTGTAAGGTGTATACGAAGAACACGAATGTGGAGGGGGAAGAGAAAAAAAAAACACAAAGAACACACGCACACGCTCACACACACGTACATACACACACAGAGAGAGAGACACAACAGTAAACGCAATAAATCCTATCTGTCTGTTCCGAACCTTTTTTGAAGTGATCAGTCCGCAAAAGCAGAGTTCAGCGAGTGGGAAGCTGGCACTTGCGATAAGAGGCCAGCCGCCCTTCTCCTCGAAGACTCCGCCCCCACATGACGATCAACACATCAGCTGCGGAAGGTGACGCAGGAAAGGTAAGGTAACGCCTAGAAAGGGAGAAAAGAGTACTGATAAAGAGAGAAAAGCCAATAACAAAACACTTAAGCAAGCAGGAAAAAAAAAACAATCAGAAACATGGGTCATGATAACACGCGTTTTGTACACACACACACACACACACACACTTCACAGCCACCAACGCAACGGTGACACTGACAACAACGCACCGCAGAAACCAGCACATGAGGTAAAGCCCAGTAACAACGAAACAACTATATAAAAAAGGGGACTATTCTCGTTTAAAGGAACAAGGTACGACAAGCTTATATACTTCTGTTACATGTGAATGTGTGTGTGTACTTATTTGTCCGGTTGTCGATGATCGACGTGCGTCCGAGGTACCAAAAGAAAAATGATAACGAACAGCAACGAACTTCTTTCCTTCAGCAACGTCAGACATTAGTTACGACAGGCTTTTTAAAACTTATTTCGAAGTGTTTATCCCTTTTCCTCATCCCATTCGTTGTCATCAGCAGCTGCCGGTGAAGTGCTGGGCAGGCAATTCACATGTCAGCGGGAGAAAGGAAATCTAGAAACAAGGAGTAAAACACCATCCATTGCTTTCCGCGCGGCTTGTGCGTCACCGTGTAATGATAATTTTTTTTGTTTTTCTTTCCAATGAACTTACGAGGAGTTAACAATTCCGTTTCCCACGGTCATCCACCTTTTGGACAACGTCCTGCGTTTCCCGCACTGTTAAACCAACCAAAACAACAAAAGAACCGCGAAGCCCAATCGAAGCACTTTTTCTCTTTTCCCCGCTGTGTTGCGTCTGTATGTGCTTCCTAAAACAAGAAGAGAATAAAAAATTACGTTTAAGCCGGGTCAACACACGCCGTCCGAACTGGGACTTCGTCTTCTCCGCCGGTCCACACTCCTCAGTCGTGAGGAGGGCTGCGCGGAAAAAAACCCCAAAAACCGGAACACGACAACAAAAGAGAAGACAAAAAAAAGGGGGGGGGGCCAAAAGACCTTAAGACAACGACATGTATAAATACTCGACGGAAACTATCTTACGATTACTTCTACCCTTTCTCTTTTTTACTCCCACAGGCAACACAAGAGAGACGAAACAGCGGCAGCATCAGCAGCCACGACAATAGCAGCAACAACATAACACAAAAAGAGAGCCGGGGGCGTCTGAAAAAGAAAAGCACCGACAAGAAGATGAGAGAGTAAGAGCCAAAAATAACAATTGCCTCCCCGCCCTACACACACAGGCCTACTTTTTCATTCCCCCATACCTCAGAACAACACCCGCAGTGGCAACAGCAACGAGGCACCCCGACAACTCAAGCTTCTTCCTTCTTCCCTCCCCCCCTCCTCCCAGTCCTCCTCATCACTGGGTGCGGAAGAAGAACTGCCCATTCGAGAAGAACTGCGAGGTGTCGTCCTCGTCATCTTCGTCCTCGTCGTCGTCACCGTGGCGGTCGACGCCGCCGTGTCCGCGGATGGCCGCCATCGCCGCCGTGGCCGCTGCGAGCGCCACCGCTGCGTCATCGTCGTCGTCGTCGTTAATTGTGGCGTAGCGAAACGGCACAGTGGCGCCGACGTGGCCCGACGCACCATGCGGGTCCCCTCCCCCCGGTGCGACAGCGGTGGAGGCGCCCGTGGACCGGGCCGAGCCTGCTTTCGAAGCAGACGCCGCTCCTGCGCTGCTCGACTGCTGCTGCTGGAGTTGGGCCGCGGCTGCCATGTTGTACATGCTGGCGTAGTTCGCGGCCAAGTGCGGCGGAATCTGCGGATTGGCTGCTGCTGCCGCTGCTGCGGGACTGCCTTGCTGGGGCGGCGTGCCGGACGGGGTGCGAAGGGCGTGGGCGGCCATGTTGAGCTGGTTCGCACCCACGACGACGCTCGGGTGCTGTTGTCCAGGCTGCACGCCGGGAAACGCGCCCATCATGAAGGGATGCCCAGTCGCAGCCGCGGCCTGTTGCTGCTGTTGCTGCTGCTGGCCCTGTTGCTGCCGGGCAAGCTGCTGTGCCTGCAATTGCTGGATGTACAGCTGCTGAAGCTGAGCCTGCTGTTGCTGCTGTTGGTGCTGAGCGGACACGTTCATCATGTTGGACATCATATACGGATTCATGTAAACGGGCTGCTGCACGTGTCCTCCTTGAGCCGACGGGGCGGCGGCCATTACGTATTGCTGCTGAGGCTGCGCTGCGGGCGCCGACATCATGGGCACCATCAGCAGCTGTCCATTGGGCCCCACCATGTACTGGTACTGCTGCTGCTGCTGTTGCTGCTGGGGCGCGACGGTGGCGTGCTGGGCGTAGTACTGCGGCGCCGCGCTCATCATCGCCTGCTGCTGGGCTTGCTGCTGTTGTTGGGCTTGTTGCTGCTGCTGGTTGTACAACTGCATCATGTTCGGAAGGGCCATCAACTGCGGCTGCGGTGGCGTACCGGTGGTGGACGCGTTGGTGGACGACGCAGCCTGTGGCGCCAGCATCATCGGCAAGCCCGTCGAGGGGTTGATGATGTAGGCCGATTGGACAGGCTGCGCCGGAGCGGCGGTCGGCGGAGGGGCCGCCGCCGCTGCATTCGCGGCGCCTCCCTGCTGCATCATGCCGGCTTGCGGGATCATCATGGACCCGCTCGGCATCGTCATGCACCCTACCCCGGGAACGTACACCATCATCGGTGCCCCCGCCGCCGCAGAGGCGCTGCCGCCGGTGGCCGACGCGTGCTGCTGGTTCGTCGGCACCATGCCCATGTTGAGAATCGCTGGGTTCGGCCCCATCGCCGCCGCCAGCATCGGATTGCCAGCCGCGAGGGCCGCGTTGCGTGGGAGAAGGGTGCCGTTGGGCAGTAGGTGTGGCTTCTGCATCCCCTGCGGAGGCTGCGACTGCACCGGCGATGGCTGCTGCTGCTGCTGCTGTTGTTGGACGAGTGGGGGGGCTGCTGCTGCTGCTGCGGCGGCGGCGGCTTGGGCAGCCAGTGCGGCCAGTGCGGCGGCCTCCTCCTTCTTGCGCTGTTCCTCCTCCGCGAGCAGGCCCTCCTTGATCCAACGGCGCATCGTCTCCGCGTTCTCGACACTGCCCATCAGCCGCTCGTCCTGCCGCTCCGCGCCGCCTTCCTCCTGCATCGCCTCGCGGTGGCTCTGCAGCAGGTGCCGGCGCTCCTTCATCAGCGGACCCAGGTCACAGCGGATAAAGGAGTTCTTGACGGTTTCGAAGGCGGCCGTCTCGGCAATCAGCTTCATCAGCCGCGCGAGCAGCGCCCCATCGAAGACGGCCTCCAGTCCTTCCTCACCCTTGCTGTCCGTGAAGAAGGTGATCTTGGGTAGGAAGCAGCGCGTTTTGCGGTAGATCTCGTCCTGCGGCTGCGCGACTTTCGGCTTGCGCTGACGGCGACGGCTGCGACGCGTGCGACGGCTTGTCCCGGAGGCGGACAGGGCGCTCTGCCGAGTGTTGTCCTTCTCGCCGTCCTTGCCGTCATCCTCGTCTTCGTCGGCCGCCGCCGCCGCCGCCTCGCCGTGCTCATCTTTCTTCTCCCCCTCGGTGTCCTCCGCCGTCTTCTTGGTGGGCGCCTCACCCCCTGGGCCCTCCGCCGCCGCCGCCGTCTCCGCCTCCGGAAGCGTCTTCTTCTTTTCCTCATCCTCCTCCGAGTCGTTGTCGGGCTCCAAGTCGTTGCCGGGCTCCAAGTCGTTGCCCGCCGAGTTGGCGAGTTGGGAGGCGCTCTTGTCGGCGTCCTCGCCGTCCGCAGCGGCGTCGGTCGCATCCACCGTCGCCGTCGCTTCTGCGGTGTTCTCCTCAGCGGGGCTGTCGCCGGGCTTGTCCTCTTCGACTTTCGCCGAGGCCTCCGCCCCCGCAGCGGCACCGTCGGATGCGGCCGCCTCCTCCCCCCCACCCTCGCTGTGGAGGGAGGCGTGCTTCCCATTCAGGCCCATCTCATCCACGAACTCCATTAGCGGCAGCTGGTCCTGCAGCACCTTCAGGTGGTGGACGCGGTCCTTCGTCAGACGGACGTGGATGTTCAGCATCTGCAGATGTGCGTAGAAGGCGTTCTCCACCTCTGTCGAGTGCACGGCACGCTGCAGCATGCTGCTGGTTAAGTACTGCGAGCGGAACATGATGCTGGCGAGGAACACAACGGGTTCCAGCAGGTGCATGTACTTGGATTCATTCGCTAGGATCAGCTCCATGTACACGTCCAACCCGGAAGCGTCGCAATCGCAGATGCGGGGGACGGCGAGGTTTGCCTTGCTGTCCATCAGCAGCGGGGACTTCGGACCGCTGCCCACCTCCGGTCCTTTGTCACCCGCCGTCCCTTTCGGCTCCTCCACCGGTGCCGGCTGCTTGGAAAAGCACGAGAGGTAACCGATGCAGCGCAGGCGGCGTCCTTGGATCGTCACCCACTCCGCCGCTGCCGCTTGTGTCGCCGCCCCACCGGCACCCGCCTGAGCCGCCGCGACGCCCAACATTGCAGCGGCCAGGTTGCCGCGGTCGGCGCCGTGGCCCGAAGCTCCTTTGCGGCCAGATGTGTCCGGTTCAATGATGCACACCGCACACGGCACTGGCCGCAGGACAGGCGCGGAGGAGTTCATCATCTGCGCCTGCGTGAAACTCGCGCTGTTCGCCATCTTCGCGGCGTTGCTTTCCTCCTCCCCGGCCGGCATAGGGGCCTCCATCGGCCTACGCACCGCCTTTTCACCGCTGTCCTCGTCGCCCGTCGTGTCTGACGTCTGCCCTGCGGCGGCTGTGGCCGCCGCCTCCGCCGCCGCCCGCGCCGCCTCCTTCAGCTTCACCTTCTCACTCGCGTACTTGGCCGATTCGTACATGATTCGGGTGGAGGCGAAGAAAGAGCACTCAATCTCGTTCAGCAGGTTCTCCATCGATTTGTAGGCCTGCACCGCCTTGCGCTTCTGCTCCACCGTCGGCTCGGCGGGCGCGGTGCCCACAGGGACAATCAGCGGCACCGCCCCACCTGCTGCGCTGCTCATGCTCTGCTGCTGCTGCTGCTGCGCTCCAGCTGCGGCGCTCCCCATCATCGTCTCCGACTGGGTGGCGGCAGCGGAATTAATTCCTTGGTGCATGGCTGCGATGGCCGTCGTGGTGGTGTTCGGCGGACCAAGGAAATACACCTGCGCCACCGCGTCCTTCAGCTTCTTGTTGGTGTCATTGAAGTGGCGGCGCAGGAGGGGAATGAGGCAGATTTCCGTGGTGCCGCCGTTGTTTGGGTGCTGCGCCGCTGTGGCGAACAGAAAGTTCGGCGCGTCGTGCGAGGGGTAGCCGCCCATGGTGACGAAGTACTCCCTCCCTCTTGCCTTTCCTCAATTTCTCCTTGGGCGCCTTGGAGATTGCTTTTGCCTGCTCGTGTGATCTGCGCTCCGCCCGCTGCGTAGAAGCTGCACGCGAAAGGGGACGACACAGAATGCGGTTGCCAGCAAGCAACAAGGAGGCAAACACGAACAAATATATCTCTATCCCGTTCGAGGAAGTCGAGAGGAAAGCGAGCGCCACCGTAAACGCACACGTGCACGCACGCGGGAGAGAAGAGGAGAAAAACAGAAATGAAGAAAAGCAACAACAATAAAAAGAGGCTAGACAGAGCTGCTTCCTGTTACGTTCACGCCTGCCTCAACGACACGCACGCACACAGACACACACGCGACCTGGCTTGTCAGGTTTCCTCGTCCTCTCAGAAACACTTATCCAAGAAGCCGGAAAAACAGTCTTATACGTTAGATGAAGTATACGAAAACAGCAACCAAGAAGAAAACCTAAAACAAGAAGAACACACATACACACACGCACACACACACACACACACACACACGCGAAGATTAGAGACGGAAGAGGTTGAAGGAAAACAACTAGGCGAAACAAAAGCGACAGGCTTTTCCTAGGTATTTCGTTCTTCTTTCTGTTGAGAAGAACCGTGAAAGTAAAGATGGACACGCGTGACACGTGTTAGAGGGGTAGGTGGGTGGTGGGTGGATGGAGGAGTACAAAAGTACCGCCAACAATACAGCAAGAGCACAGAGCCAGTCACAAGGGGGAGAGAGAGGGGAAAAGGGAGGTAGGAAGTGACTTGTCAAACACGGGTTAAAAATGGCGCGACTTAAACCAACGCGTTTAAATAGACCTCATCGATCCTCACGGCGGCCAGACCACACACATATACACACACAAAGGTCCGAGTTTTCGACTTTTTAATGCCGCGGTGCCACTTGCGTGTTATGCGGAGCACTACCCCTTGCTTTGCAACAGCGTCATGAAAGAAAGCTGCTACACAACACTGTCACTTCTTAAAATTGAGCTACTTGGCTCCTTTTGAATGCAGTTGCCTTTTCTCTGATCTCGCGGGTAGGTTGCTTGTGAAAAAAAGAAAAAGAAATAGAAAATAAAAGGAGTTGCACCGCTGCGCCTCCGTCGATGCGAATTCATCGGTGTGAGCGGCAGAGGCAGCAAAGCTGAAAAACGACAAAACAAACAAAAAAGCAGCGCCATGACAAATACCCTTGTTGTTGCTGTGGAGCAGCGTGGTGATGTGCGAACGATGAAGCAGCAGAAGCCGCGTCGCCCACGGTGAAGCGCGAGTTCCCAATAGTCGTTGAAAAAGGAAAGTAACGGGAGAAAATCCTCTTTGTGGTGTTCAATACGGTGGCAAAGGAGATCAACCAACAAACATTCACGCAACACGAGGTACAAGCCCCAAGAAGCCCGCCACCCCCCTCACTGCCAAAAAGACGCGTCCTTCCGTATCTTCGTCTGCACACGGGTCCGCCACTTGTCCACGAAGGATGTTGGCATCACCACGTAATCGCCAGGCTCCAGTCCGGCCAGACCATTATTACCGTACCCGCCAGCGCAGTCACTATTCCAGTTAATCGACCGCGCGTAGCTGGCGACAAAGCCGTAGAGATCTTCCAAAATGCGCTCCGCAATGGCGACCTTCGTGGCCGCGCGCACCTGCTGCAGCGGCTGCTCCTGCGTGGCACCGAGGTTTAGGAGCTCCTCCTCACGCTCAAGCGCCAGTCCGAGCACCACCCGAATCGGCTGATCCGCATTCAAAAAGGCGGTGGGCACTCGCAGAATCGTGCTCGCCCGCTGCTGCGTTAGCGCGCCAACGTACTGGAAGCTCATTGTGTCCTCTCGTGCGAGAAAGAGGCCGATGCCGTAGCCCGGCGGCAGCGGCTCGGCCATGGTGAGGAACACAACGAAGCTCTCGGGGGCAAAGCCGAGCTGCAGCGACCACCTACCGCTGTCGATTTGCGCAAGGTTCGTTTGCACCGGACATCCCGGGACGATGACACCGAAAAGCGGCGCGGGTGGGGCTAGTGTTGGGACGGCGGCGGCGCTGCTGCTGACGGCGGAGCCCGATGGCGTGGTGTAGGCGGTGCTCGATGGGATGCCGCTGTTCTGCGTCGTGGACTGCCACTCCATGGTGGATAGGAAAAAGCACGTGTCGGACAATGGGAGACGATGTGCGCTTGACTAATCCTGTGTGGTGAGTGTGTGTGCGTGTGTGTGTGTGTAAGCGTGTGAGACGTGCGAAGGAGGAGGATGCGACGTGGGACAAGTAGCGCTGCCAGTTAAAAATACATATGTTCCTTCGTGCATGAGTACTTCCAGAGGACGTCACAACAACAGCGATGAGTGACGCTTACACGAAACAGCTGAAACAAGTGAGCCGTAAACAACAACAAAGAAAGAAAAAAAACACCGTTGATGCACCGAAGTACTCTTAAAGAGGAATGCTTGAGTCGGCCAGGCACGCCCGACCGTTGTTTGGGTGTTGCCAGTGGTACAACGCACCCGATGCAGAGCCATCTTCGGGTCGTCTTGTGGGGAGCTTTCTTTTTCCCTTTGTCAAGGTACTTTGTGCGTTCATTCCGAGCTGTGGTGACAAGTCCGCTACGCCGTACTCGCCCGCCCTTCCAACCTTGACATCCAAGAACAACAACAACGATGACAACAAGCACATATAAGACCCGAAATGCAGAAGAGCTGCGGAAAGCACCCTTGTGTGCGTCGCAACGGTCCTCATCAGCTAGAGCTGATGCGCACTCCCTCACGGGCAGGTACCACGCCACGCCATGAAAGGCCTTTCCCGTTCTTTTCTTCTACGGACGCGCAGCAGACGACGAAGCCCCTTCGCGTCTCTCCGCCGCAGCCGCGGAGCTGACGTCGTCCCAGTGCCACGCGCAGTTCACCGCGCCAGACTCCGTCACGTACGGTTTGGCGTCTACAAAAGCCGGATCGAAGGCACGGATGTGGCCCACATTGCTCACCAACGTGTTCTGCAGCGCCACTATGCGGTCATCAAGACCTTGCGCTTCGCGCTCGCGCCGCGTGTCCTCTTTACGCACCTCTTCCGCCACCGCCCGTGCGTCGCGCTCGCGCTTTTCAACTTCGTCCTGCCGCACCATCTGCTGCACCTCGTGGGTGCGGCTCTGATGAATGTAGAAGTAGTACAGGTTGTTTGATTGGTTCTTCTCCGCGTAGATCCACTTCTGCAGCTTTGCGATCTTGATCACGAGACGCAGGTGACGCGCGGAGTCGAGGGGGACATCGTCGTGCTGCTTGCAGATTTCCCACAAGTCCAGCAGACGGATGGGCTGGTGGAAGAAGAGCAGCTTCACCACGTAGTTGCGGGGCAGCTCCCCCAGATCGCGTGGGATGGCCTTGATGTTATTCTTCTCCAGTGGTTTCTTGAAGAGCTCGCGGATGTTGCTGTTGAACTTCTTGTAGCCGCCCTCGCGCAGCATGGCGACCTCGCTGCGGTACGGTACAGTGAGGCGGTACTCCTTGCCGGGCCGCTGACCAGGTGGGCCCTTAGGCCGGTTCAACCACGCCAGCGTACGACGCAGCATCGTGTGCACTATTACTCTGCCCCTTTCCGCATCCAGCGGGGGGAAAACACCAAACACCAAAAATGAAAGGAAAGAAAAGATGAGGTTGAGGGAGAGAGCAGGCGGAATCGAAGTCAGAGAAGGCAGCGAGGGAGGGGAAAGAAGGAGAAGGGGTGAGGTGATGCCCAAATTTCTGCATCGCTGCGCAGCGCACAGGACTACGCGCAAAACAACAACAGCAACACCACGGCAGCTTGAGCTGCGAAGGAGGAAACAATAATCGCACTAGTAATAACATTTCATCACACACACTTCTGTTTTCGGCTTCGCGGCACACACACACACACACGAGTTTGCATACCTTCCCTCAAATCAGCGGAAACGCCGGTCGGACTGCTGCGTAAAGGCGCATCGGAGCGCTCCGAGAAACGCCTCCCTTTTCCCCGTTTTTCGTCCTCTCCCACCTCCGTTTGAAGGTGTTCCTGCAGGCCAGGTGGTGGGCCAGAAGCTATTCGCGCGTTGTGGCGAGCACCATTCTTTTTTGTTGTTTTAACTTCTGGTCATCTCTCGTACTCCGTTCAGCGTCGTACAGACGCACGAGAACAAGATTTGACTTCTAAGGACAACACACACACACACACACTGAAAGGAGAGAGCGAGAGAAAACGCAAACGGAAAGCGTCGTTTGATAAAGTGGTCTCGCATTCCGATGCAAAGGATGGACCAAACACACAACAGCCGCCACCCCTAGAAACAACATCACAGAGATGCTGCTGTTTACGCACGAGCGGGATAGGCATCGAATGAGCCACGTCGTATATAAATATAAATATGTTCATCTTTCGTTGCTTTTTTCTAGTCTCTCGCTGTCTCACTCCCATCTAAGCGTCTTGACGTACGCATCGGGCGCGTTCCGGAGCACAAACCTATACACACACGCACGCACGCACACAACAGCTGCCATTGCTCAACCGGTAGGAAAGCTCAGCCGGCCAGCAAGAACCCCCCCCCCTCTCGCTGCTCAACCACACATATCTCCTCGATGGAGAAAAATAAAAACTAGAAGAGAGTCAATGACACCGTAGCGGGAAGGAGCGAGCATCGCAGAACAAGAACAAAATAAGAAATCGCTCTCCTTCATCAGCGTGAATACGCCACCGACAACAACATAAGTCTTTCATCTCCACACACGATAAGGCGAAGCACTTTATCGCCCTTCATAAAGCTGCACAAACGCCCCCCACCGAACTCAAAAGGCGATGAGGAACACCTCCCCCCTTCATACAGGATCTCGCTTTCTCATTTTTTCGAGACGGACGCCTTGACCGGCAGCGGGGTCGTCGCCGCCTCCTGCACGTCCACCTCCGCATCCTGACTCAGCTTGCTCAGCACAGGCTTCGACAGCTTCGCGGGAATCTTATCTGCCCTACTCAGAGCCACAATGGTCTTCGCAACGTTAAGGCGCACATTGGGCACGGCGTCCTGCTGCAGCATCACGAGCTGCGGCCACACCGACGCCGCGCAGGTGGCCGCGTCAAACGCCGCGACGTTCGCCAACGCGGCGTAGAGGTGACACAGCACCACCCGGTGCAGATAGTTGGGGTCCGTCACGAGGTTCTGCACCTGCGGCAGCAGCGACGTCGCGGCCCACGCGCTGCCGTTCTCTGCCACCAACTTGCAGCACGACTGCACCGCCGCATCGCGGATCGTGGCGACGCGGTCGGTCAGGCGCTCAATGCACACCTGCAGCACCTGATCCGCACTGCGCCCGAGTGAGGTGATCACGTAGGGCACCTGCGCCACCACCACCTCCCGCACCCGCCACTTCGAGTCGCTGGCGAGGCTGATGACGACGGGTATCAAACTGGGGGCGAGCTCCTTCGCCTCCGGGGTGTTGCCCATGGAACTAAAGCCCGACACGAGGGCGAGCCGCACATCAGCCTCCGTGTCCCGCAGCAGCGCGGTGCAGGCCGGCACAATCGTCGTGCCCCACAGATCCTTCGCGACGTGGGCAACGGACTTCAGCACCGCACTCGCCAGACTCATGCGGACGTGGCTCACGTCGTCCGAGACGAGCCGAGTGCCCGTCACGAGAATATCCTTCTTGCCGGTTGCGTCGCGGCAGGCGGCGAGGACGTTCGCCATGTTAAACACCGCCGCAGCGCGGATCTCCGGCTCGGCGTCCTGGCACAGTGAGCGGAACATCGGCACGGCGTACTTGACCACGTCGGGTGGGGAGAGGGCGGCGGCGAGGGCGCCCAGCGAGTCCGCCGTCATGTACCGCACCCGCCACGAGCTGTCGGATGACAAGGAGCGTACCGCGAGCAGCACCGCCGAGTGCTGCGTCTCCGGCAGCACCTGCAGAAGCGAGGCGGAGGTGGTGACGGCCTGCAACCGCACCCCGTCGCTCTCGTCTTTCGAAACGGCGTTCAGCACCGGCACGAGCTCGGAGCAGCCTTTGGGTCCCAGCACACCGGCCAGGTACTTCCCCATCGCAATGCAGGCGGAGCGGCGCACTAGAATTTCGTCATCCTCGCACAGCTTCAGGAACAGCTTCATGAGATCTGCCTTGGTGGGGGCGTCCGCGCCTGGGTAGACGACGGAGACGAGGGCGCAGGCGGTGCTGCGACATTGCGGCATGCTCTCGCCCAGCCGGCGCACCATCGCAATGAAGTCTTCCTGCGCCTTTGTGACGGCGCTCTTCTTTTTGTTGCCGTCGAGCGAGGAGGGTTTGAAAATCTGCTCCCCGATCAGCTGCAGCGACGCCACGGCCTCGTCGCGGACCGTCACCTCGTCCAGGCTGCCGAGGATCTCCAGCGGTGCGAGAAGGCTGCTCGTGTATTCCATCCCACCCACCTCTGGCAGCATCGTGCCGAGTGCGTTCGCAAACACGCGCAGCACCTCGTCGTTGTCGTCGAGGTAGTCGGTGAGGTAGAGGAGCAGTTCATCGCGGGTGCGCTCGGGGCCGAGAGTGGCCGCGATGAGGTGGATGCCTCGCATGCTGTTCAGCCGCGCCTCCGGGTCTTCGGACCGGAGGTTGTCGATCATCGACTTCACCGAAGCAAATTGCTCCATTCTTTTATTTCTTCTTGTATTGTTCGTGTGCGGTTCCACCGACTCTCTTCTCTCTTCCCCCTCCTTCCGTGTGCTGTGAGGTCGCAGCGTCTAGTCCGCAAAATGACCACCCCCCCAAAAAAAAAACAACCCCGGGAAATCTAAATTAGAAAAAGCCTTTCGCGTCCGTGCCCCTCTCCTTCTGACAGCCGTTGTCCACGCGGCCGACACAGGGTGCGGTGGTATAAAATATTGCGGGGGAAGCCAAGGGCAAAAGAAACAACGAAATACACACACACACTCTCTACGCCGAGCGATGCGGCAGACGATGAGAGAAAGGGAGAAAGGGTGTTGGAGGGTGCTAAACAGTGAACACCAATTTTTTTTTTTTTTTGCGTGTATGTATGTGTATGTGGGTGCTACTGTCGCGGCAAGCACCGCAACGCTGCCACCCTAACGTGTGCGTGGTCCCGACGCTGACGCAGCGATGAGAAAGCTGCGTATATATGCATTAGGGATGCGCTGCACTATTGACCACAGCTGGTGAATCATGCGAATGAAGAAGAACGGCGCGTGATGCACCGTCGGGGGTTCACCATAGTATATATATGTTTATATTTTATTACTTGAATTCCTCACGGTTAAAGAACGAAGCTGAGTAGCTTGTTTCCATTTACACCACAACAGTTTCACACACACACACACATAGAAGTCGTGAGCACACCAAGACGATACGCCGAGTGCTCTCCCTTTCCGACCATTGCTTACGTAGAGCTTATTGCCGTGCGAGCAGCGCTGCTCGTTGCACGCACGGTACCGCACGCAAACTCATACATATATATAGATAGATACACGGATGCATTCAAAACGCTCGTTGCGTACGTCACGAACCAACTCCATCATCAAGAGAAACAAAAAGAGCTCCCAGGGCACACACCGGTGACCCAAACCCCCAAGCACTGCTTAAACGGAATTAGAGAGTTACCATCTTAATAAAAACAAAAACAGAAGAGAACGCATTCTCAAGAGGCAGTGAAGCCGAGAAGACGTAGGGGAAGAAAAGCCCCACCAGATACTCTCCGCCTAACTTCTCCTTTTCTTTCTTCTTTCGATTACGATCCATAATGCACGTACTTCAGTCACGAGGTGGCGCTCGGCACGGTGGAGTCGGTAACGGCCTGAATCTTCGCCTCCACGTACGCGCGGGCGCGCTCCTTCACCGCCTCCACATCCGTCGGTGAGCCGTGCAGCTTCTCAAACGACAGGAACCGCGTCAGCAGCTGCTGCATCACCTTCGCCGAGAAGTTCATCGCCACGGTACGCTGAAAGATCTGCCGCACCTGCAGGGCCGACGCCGACGGCTCCTTGCGGTTCAGCAGCCCCGTCTCCTGATCAATGTAGGTGGACCACACGTCGGAGCGCTTCGGCACCTTGCGCAGCAGCCCCTCAAAGAGCGCGCGGCCGTTTTCAGGGCTGCCGTGCTTGTATTCGTGGATGGCAATATGCACTATCGCCAGCGAGGCGTCGTCGCGCTTCAGGACTTCGCCCATGTCTTTCAGCGTCCGCTTCAGCTGATCGCGCTTGCCTTGGTCTACCAGCACCACGCCTAGACGCTCCCAGGTGCGACGTTCGTGGCGGAACTTGCTCGTCATAACACGGCACAGCGCCAAAAGCTGATTCGGCTTGCGAGCAGCGGCGTAAATGTCGGCGAGGCGTTCGTAGAGCTCGAGTTGGTGGAGCTGCCGCTGCTGCGCACGCCGGAACACAGCCGCGAGGGACTCCTCCGTACCGTAGAGGTTCTCCACGTTCAGGTAGGCCACCCACACGTTCAGCAACTCATCCTTCTCTCGTACGCCGATCGTACTGAGGGCCTTTTCGGCCACCTGCCGCGCCGCCTCGTACTGCTGCAGGCCTACGTGATGCGCCATAAACTGCGTCCACAGATAGCTGCTGTTCGGGTTCGCCAGCAGCAGGCGCTGGAACTCCTCCGGACTCGTCGGGGTGGCCTTGTCCATGCCACGCTCATAGGCGTCGATCGCCTCCTCCAGCTTCCGGCGACGGGTGCGCTGCGGCGCGTCCTCGCCGGCGCTACCGCGGCCCCCCTCCGCTGCCTCGTCGTCCTCGTCCTCGCTCTCTTCACTGCGGCGGGTCTTGGCGGTGTACTCCGCCCTCCATGGGAAATGCCCCAGTAGCCCATACGAAGTCGTCGCCAGGGCAGCAGCACTTCCTGCTCCTGCTGCGGCTGTTGTGGCGGGGCGCCGCACAGCGGGTAAGTGCTGGAAGGTCCGCGTCCGGTTCGACAAGATCACGAACGGCATCACGTCGTACAAGGCTGGCAGTTCGGGGCAGAACTCAATCACCAACTCCAGCGTATGCCCAACAACGGGGGCTGCGCTGGACGACGTCTTTGCGCCGGCCCAGTCATACAGGTAATACCCCAGCACCGTAATGGTAGTAGTGGTGTTGAGGGGCGACTCTTCGATGTCGCCGTCGTGCTCCCCCAACGTCGCCATCTGCACGGGGATCTGCACAACCGCACAGCCGTCGTCGGTCGAGGAGAGCAGCACCGTGCAGGATACCACATCCCCCGAGTGCAGGGAGGACAGCGCGGCGGCCGAGACGGCCGTATCGAACGGAGTGCCCTCCACCACCTCCGTCTTCGCCGTCACGTTCACCACATCCGCCGTCACGTCGTAGTTCAGCAAACGCACCTCAACAGCGTTGCTGCCGCGGTGGTGAGTGTGCTCGTGTGCGCGCTGATCCGTGCTATCGTTGTGCACGTCGTCGTCGGAGCTGTCTTCTGCTGCGACGTCAGCCGAACCGGCTGCCCCGCTGTGCTGCTTGCCAGCCGTAGCTGAAGAGGAAGAAGGAGGCGCGGGAGCACCGTTGGCTAAGTTCTCAAAGGCAGCCACCGCTGTCAAATTCGGGGCGATTGTCAGCACAGACCCTTTCGCAGAGGCCCGCACGACGCGCGCGGCGGTGGTGGTGCCGATCCCAACGAGCATGTGCTTGCGCAGCAGCCGCTGAGCGAGTTGCTGCACCGATAACGGGTAGGTAAGCAACGCACTGTAGCCCTCGCGTAGATTGACGGTGAGGAGACGGTAGCCTTGTGCGTCGCGGGCGCGCTGCGGAATCGCGACGACGTGCTCGCGAGCAGAGAAGCTCTTGAGCAGCCGCTCCGCCAGCAGGTCACCGCCGAGGGTGGCCTTCGTTAAGCGACCGAAGCCGTTCGTCTCGGGGAGTTGGACCAAAATCCCGTCCGGGGTGCTGTGCTGCACCCGATACTCACGAAAGCAGCTTGACATACTTCTTCTTATTATCTATTTACCTTCTCCTATATGTGCTTTTCTGTTTTCTATTATGTGAAGCGTTGGCACGACGACGCAGCGTGGTTTGTGGAGTTCATAAAAGGACGGGTAGAGGGGGCAGGGAAGAGGTGAAAGGCAACACGAATAACGTTGAAGGGGCGCCGATACACCACACACACACACACACACACACACACACACACAGGTGACAGTAAAAAAAAAGCACTCAAAACGAACGCTCTATCTACAGCACTGCAAACGGAAATAACAAATGCGTTGGGTCCGACGTGCATCACAGCACAACTGAGCGCGCATGAAACCAACAGTTTTCTTTTCAATAAAGATGGAAAAATGAAGCACGTGTAAACGTCATTATTCTCCCTCTCCTTAATGCGTGTACAACACGCAAAGGGAGCACGAAGAGGTGGGCCGCACAGCACCAGTAATACACGAGCCCATACCGACGGCGTGCGTTGAAGTCCCATTCTTCGCTGAAGGTTAGGGTTACTATCATAATTATTGTTATTTCTAGCTTTTGCTCTTGGTGCTATATATATATATATATATATGAATCGTTCTGCCATACATCATCAACGACTCTCTCCTTCCCTTAGCCGCTGTAAACCCAATGCCCACAGAAGTTAACAACAGAAAAGAAGGGACGTGAGTGGGCATGCAACACTCGGCTAAGGAAACCTCGCCGGAAAATAAAGCCGTCGTTGCTGTTGTCCTCTCTCTCTCTGTACAGACATACGCGTTTAAAAGCAAAAACCTACAAAAGGGGAGATACGGAGTGGAGGAAACGATGGCGTGATAAGGTCTAGAAAGATCTAAAAAATAATACTTCTGTAAAACAAGAGCAACAACACAAACAAGCAAACAGTACAGAATTCAGCGCAGCTTGAGCCCCCTCCAAGAAGAAGAAATGATGACCGTTAACATACGTTCGTCCACCATTGATCCCCCCAAGCAATGATAAGTCAACTGTACAGCGATAAAACTGTTTACGAGAGAAAATACAAAAACAAGAACAGGCGCAGAAGGCAGAGGCCATTGGGTGCCTCACAGACCCCACCAACGCGCCGTCCGCCTCACCTTCTTTCTTTCCGTGTCCTTTCTCTCACAACTTTGAAGTGGCGCTTGGCGACACCCCATCCTCTTCGACACACCCCGCCGTCGTCCCCGCACCGCCTGCCACACTGGACGCTGTGGTTGGTGGCTGCTGCTGTTGCTGCTGCTGCGCAAAACTGGGAAAAGATGCGAGCGTGCGTGTGGGTGTGGAGTGCGACGACAGGCTCAGCAGCACATCCTCGCCGGAGCCGCGGCACGAGGTGCCGGCCGCCGATCCAACCGTGGTGCGACGGCCCTCCCCCGCCCCGGCGAAGCCAGAACTTCCGGCGTTGCCGTCGGACCGAGAAGGAAGAGGGAGAAGCGAAGACGCACCACGGTCGTCTTGCGGTGGTGGTGGCGGAAGGACGAAGTGCAGGGAGCTCCGTGCGTTTTCTGAGGAGCGGGTCCGCAGCCCGTCACGGCGGCTGGCGAGCTCCTCGAAGCGGCGGCGCCAGTAGTTCGCGTCGTTGCGCGCCATCTCCAGCGGTGCCCGCACCGCCTCCCGTTCCTTCTCCAGTCGCTCCCGCAGCTCCTTGTTGACGCTGCACTCATGCTTCAATTCCTCATTAACGTTTTCAAGGCGGCCGCGACGCAGCTCCAATATGCGCTGCTTCGATTGCAGCTCCGCCAGCGCGTCCTTGTGCTGCTGCTGCAGGGCCGCGTGCTCCTCGCTGAGTGTGTTGAGCTGCTCCTCCAACCGCAGCGTGTACTGCGCCTGCACCGAGGAGCTCCGACTGCGCGCGGGGCAGCCGTCGGTATAGTCCACGTTTTCCTGCGCGGCGGACGGGTGTCGTGACCGCCATTCCAGCGCGGCGGCCACCGCCGGCGAGAGGCCACGCAACGTGCCGGAGAGGCGACCGCCCTCCGTCGTGTGCGGGCCCTGCAGCTGCTGCGAGCGCGACGTCTGCGGTAGCACGATGGAGGCGTCGCCGAGATCGGCAGCGAGTTGCCGTCGCGGGTTCGGCGACTCGACTTCTGGAGTGTTGCTACGCCCACCCGTTCGCAGTTCACTTAACGCTGCTGCTGCCGCTGTAGCTGCTGTTGCCGGCCTGAGGGTACCCACCGAAAGCGGGGTGGCGGCGTCAGCTGCGATTCGGGTGTGTCGGCGCTGGCTCGGTGCGTCAGGGCCAAAGACCGCCACGCTCCAGCTCTCCACGGCTGCCTTCGCCAGGGCAAGAGGAACCGCGTGGTCCTGCATCGCCTTGACGAGGTCGTTGATCTCACCCATCTGTGTATGCAGGAGTACTCGGCATTGCTGCAGCAGCGCATCCTGCGTGGCAGCGCGGTGAAGTGCGCCTTGATGCGCGGCCTCCCACACCTCTATCTCTTCCTGATAGCTTCGAATTCGGTCCAGGTACCCATCCCGCTCCTCTTGCAACGTAGAAATGGTTTCCTGGGCGGTGTTCAGGCTATCTTGCACCTGCGCTGCCTCCGCGCGGAGCTGCTGTTGGCGTGCCTGCTGCGTCGCCCGCTCCTCGAGCAGCGCACTGATGCGACTGGTATCCTGCACAGCGCTGGCGGCAACGGAGGCGTTGGACAGCTTGCGACCGGCGGAAGCGGGGAAGTCACCGTCAGACTCCACCGTCCCCCCACTCTCTTCCGTGAGAGCGGCCAGGCCAACAAAGGAGTCATAGAACATGGCGTCGTGGCGGTTGCTGCCCCCGCCGCTGGGCGCGTCCGCATGCATCAGCTGCCGAATGCGGCCGTTCAGACGCCCTATTTCATCCTTAGCGGAGTCAAGCATGCGCTTCAGCTGCGCCGCCGTCAGTTCACGGTTCACGACGGCCTTGTTCTCGATCGCCTTCGCACGCGCGCCAAAGCGCAGGGTGGAGAGCGTCTCCTGTGCGTTGTACGGCGACGGACTGCAGCAAATCACAAGCGCCGTGTGCGAGTTGCCGCCGAGCGAGTCCTTGAGAATCTTTGTTAACACGCTGTTTCGGTAGGGCGTGTGGGTGGCGCTCTGATCTGTCAGCGACATGATCACCATGCCAAGGGTGGAGAGGGACTTGTTGATCAGCTTCGCCTCCTCCAGCCGCAGCCCCGTCGCGTTTGTCTTACCGACCTTTTCACTGCCAGCCAAATCCACCAGGTACAGCTTGCCCACCGTGGAGGTGCAGCGCGTGCGGTTCTCACTCTTCACGGTGAGGTTCAGAAGGCAGTGGCTGCGGCTGCTCGCCTCGTTCATCGCCGTCGCCGACGTCGCGCGGTATTTTAAGCCCGCCTTCACGAGCTGCAGCACTTCGCTCGCAGAGGACACGTGCGGCATGCGGCACCCATCCACGTAAAACGAGTTTGTGCTGACGTCTTCACGGAGTTGCAACTTGCGAGCAGGGTGATGGTGGGTGTGACCGCCGCCGCTGCTGCACGCTGCAGGGGCGAGAAGATCGCGGATCTGTTCCATGTAGATCTCCACAAAGAACATCTGCACATCGAACTCGGTGGACGGGTCCGCCTCGGCGATCGCGTGGAAGACGTCGTGCACCGCGCGGGGAATTACGCCGCTCACGGAGTCCTGTGCGAAAGCGGTTCGAGTTCGACGTTCCTGTGTTTTGCTGATTCTCACATGAGCCAGCTTCCTCGGAGCACGGCCGTCCCCCGTCGTCGTTGTCGTGCCACTACTCTTCTGCTGATAGTCTGCCACACCAGCCGCCGTCTGCAGCGTGTTGATTTGGCGTAGTTCGCCGAGAGGTGTGAAGGTGGCCCGTGCGCGACAGAAACACGACGAAGCCGAAGAGGTGTCAATGCCCGTGTCCGTGGCAGTGGCGACAGATGTCGGTGCGGCCCTCACAGAATATCGAAAGAATTCATCGTTGGCTTTCTCTTCGTTGTGCTCCGCTTCTTCATTCTCTGAAGGGCAGCGGCTTTCCTTCGCATGCTCGCCCTCTTCCTCCTCCTCCTCCACGTTCATCTCGCTCTCCGCCGAGAGGGGAGTAGACGGTCGGGCGGCGCCTACGCCATCACTTCTCGCCGACCACGCGCTGCCCTTCATGTCCCCGAACATCGTGTGTGTCTTGCCGCTGCCCGTCTGACCGTACATAAAAATTGTGCCGTTGTAGCCGGACATCACATCCGTCACGATGGGCCTGGCTACGTGTTCGTACACCTCCGCCTGCCCCGCCTCCGCGCGAAACACACGTGAGAATGTGAACCTGTGGTGCTCTGCAACGTTGGTGCTGTGGGCTGCGTCGCGGAGGGTGCCTGCGTTGTCGGTAGTGCTCGTCGACGCTGCGGGTGCTGCCGTGTTGCACTCGATGGCGTCCGTGGTGCGGCTCGGGTAGTCCACACAGACCTCCGTGCACAGCTGCTGCTCATGGGCGTTGAGGGGCCGCACCCGGCAGCAGACCCGCACGTGGTCCACCGGCTCTCGCGCGGATTTCATGCCGACAGCCTCCCCCTCCAAAAAAAAAAGGATCAAAGTACTAGGAAGTATAACAGTAATAATAGGAATATTGGTTTACGTCGTGTAGGAGCATCGTAACAGGTGTCTTCTAGAGATAAAGAACAAAGAAAAAAAGAAATGTGTATGTATGAGTACGAAATTGCGGTGAATCTAACAACAACAACAAAAACGCTGATCCAGGGGATTTAATAGCGGAAGCGCTGTCCGTTCTGTATGCTTTATGCAATGCTGCAAACGGCAGTCAGTGAGAAACGTCAAAGGAGAAGCGTCAACGCGGTGGGGAGAACAACAAGAAGATGATGAATGCTGTCAGAGGGAGAGGGAGAGGGAGAGAACCGGGACTGCGTCCGCCCGCATTTCTTTCATGCCATTACGCATTTCCCACGATTTCCATCCTCCTCCCTCTCTCTGCTCCATCGAAGAGGGAAGTGGAAGAGCCGGCACAGGACGCGTGAGGCGCTCACGAGCTGCGGAAAAGACGCGCACAAAGGGGGGGGGGGTCACCAAACGCTTCCCGCAGGTGCACGTTGAACAGGCTGCGGCTTTGCCCTTCTTTCTTCCCTTGATTTGAGCCACGTATGCGGCAGCCACTCCAAAACAACAAAAAAGGAAAAGAAAGCTCTGCAGCAGCTAGCTCGTTTCATTCGGTTTGAAACTACTGCGCTGTGCTGTTCGTCCCGGCGTACGAAGAAGAGAAACGCCACCCGGCGGACTCGAAGCACGTCGTCTGCGAGCAGTGACGTGCGGCCGTGTCAGGAGAAGGTGACCAAGCGTCGAACCCATCGCGCGCTTTCTATTGAAAACCAAAAAAAACAGGAAAATTCTGCAGTGAGTGCATCTAACAGTCGATCTAGAAGTGTAGCTTTAAAGCAAAAGAACAAAAAGTAAAACCCCTTCCACACCAGACAACATATTGTTGTAGAGCGAAAGAAGAGGAGATAGTCTACGCACACACGAATCAGCCGTCGAAACATTCAAAAAAAAAGAGAAGGATGAGGTCGCTTACTGCTCCACCCGTCGAGGCGGCAGACCGAGACAGCGCACCAGCTCCCCCAACTCCCCTGCCTCCTTAACGGACAGAAGACTTGTGGCGTGTTGAGATCGCCGCGAGGCAGCAGCGGCACTGGAGTCTCGCCGAGATCGAGCGTGGCTACTGCGCTTGGCGGATTCTCCCTCTTCCCTCACCTGCTCCTCCTCCTCTGTCCCTCCCGTACTCTTCTTGCGCATTACAACCCGCGTGGAATGATACTTCGCGTTGTCGTTTTTGCCGTTGATCTCCTCGCCCTGGTAGCTGTACGCATGTGCCGCCGTCAGGTTCGGCGTGGTCGAGCGCGTAGCCCTCCCCGACGGTCCCTCCGCACAATCTCGCCCATTACCATTCGTATTCTGACTATTGCTGTCGACGGTGTGATGCGTTGCAATGATGCTCGCGTTTCGTGTGCGGTTTGCGCTGCCGTCAGCATCCACCGCGTCATGGAAGCCCACCGCCGTGACCCGCTTCCCCTCACTGTCGAGCGCTTGCAATCGTCGCGGCCTCAGCGTGGCTGCGTTGCTCATCGTTCGTATGGCTGATGTGAGCGGTGCGGTAGAGCCGCCATGCGGTCCGGTCAACGGCACAGGGGAAGGAAGGGCAGCCCCAGCAGTGGTGGTCGCCGGCACGACGGCACGCGGCAGCACCAGTGGCGACTTGTTCAGTCCTTTGTCGTGCGCCACGTCCACTTTGCGGATCAGTGTGGGTCGTTGCAGCGGAGCAGCGAGTCGCACGCCATCACCGGCGACAGTGGTCACGGCTACCGCAACCGGCAAGAAGTCTCCATGTGGCTGCTGCCCTTCCGCTGACTTGAGTGCTTCTAGTTCTGCTTCGATCGGCTCGCGATCGGGCTTGGCAACGGCGGAACGCGTCGGCGGTGTCCTCTCCGCAGACTCCGACACACCTTCCGTCGCTGCAGAGGCGTGCGCCAGCTGCGATGGTCGGTAGGTGGTGCTGACCAACGAAGGGATAGAGCGCGCGGACTGCTCATCCACTGCACGACCAGGCCTGGGTGACATCCGCGGAGCTCGTGCGGCTCGCATCGGCGCTTCGGTGGAAGTCTCTCGCCCCGCACCGCCGGTGGAGAGGTACAGGAGCTGCTGGCGCATCTTCCCCACATCCGTGTCGTCTTCGTGGTCGTTGAGGTCGAAGGAGGCGCTGCTGATGGTGCTGACGGACTCATTCGGCAGCTGATACGGCGGCACGTTGCTCATTCCGCTTACCTCGGTGCTGCCGCACGCCCCGCGCTGGACGTCGTACGGACTTGAAGGCCCGGCAAAGGAGCTGTGCTTTGTGGATGCCTCACCAGAGAAACCGCGTGGAACATCTTTTCCGTTGCTTTTGCTAAAGGAAGGTGTGCTTCTGCTCTTGTCACACGACCTCTGCGACCTCACGGACTCCCTGTGGCCGCTCCGCTGCTGCGCAGAGGCAGTGCGAAGGTCACCGGAGCCTGACGCTGCGTCGGCTGCCGCTACAGGTGCTGAAGAGGTGGTCTGTCGGTGCTGACTCTTGCCGGCACGTCCGTGCTCCTCTGCTCTCTCACGCAGCGCATAAAGCCGAGTGGCAGATCGGGTGCGTTGACGTAGGTGTCGAGCGTAGCCGCCTTCGTCGAGTTCGCAGAAGTTCGCAACTGGCACGTCTCCGCCCTCCCCTTCTTCCTCTTGTGTCTCCGTAATGGAGTCGTCGTCTTCTTCGTCCGCCCCGTAGCCCGTCACCTGCGGTTCGTGCAGACTCACATCTCCTGGAAGAGTCTTGTGGGAAAGGCCGCCTGCTCCGTTCACGCTCTCCATCGTGCTGCCGGAAAGCGACACATCACCTGCGGAGCGAGGAAGGCTCTGGTTGTGATCGTCGTCTCGCCCGTGCGCCGCTCCGGGTTTCCTTCGTGAGAGTCGCCGTTGCTGCCGCTCTAGAGCCAGCACAGGAGTATTCCTGTGAGCGGCTGACCTTTCCTTGTCCTCCGAACGATACCGCCGCTGAAAGCGCTCGAGCTGCGCCGTCGTCGCGTGCAAAGCGTTGGTCTGCGTGTGTATCTCATGCTGCAGCAGCACGACGTTGTGCTCCAGCTGCTGCTGACGCGCCTTCATGCGCCGCAGACACCCCGCGACGGCGACAAGGTGGTGGTGCAGCAGCGTGTTCCCTTGGACCTCCGCCGTGGTGTGCGTCCCGCGTGGGCAGCAGCCAAAGAGGGCAAATGGACACTCCATCAGTTCCTCACCGCCTGCCACCTTCTCGCCTGTGTGGCCGATCCGCTGTGCAGGGTGGGACTCGAGATGGCTGTCGTCGCGATGCCCCGCCTCCTCCCCTCTTCTTCGAGGGCTGCCGGCAGGACTGATGCGGTCGTAGCCCACCGCGCCACCACTGTCCCCGCCATTCTCCAACTCGCTTCGGCCTGACTGCGGTGGCGACTCCAAGTGTTCATACGGGGGCGGCAAAACGAACTGCAGTGCATGAAAAGGGGCGCTCGCCTCCAGCGCAGTCGCCGCTGCCACTGCCGCTGCTCCGCTTGCTGTCTTCGTCGGGGCAGCTGGATATGGAAGAAGGGCCGCCGCTTCCGTGGCTGGTCGTGGTGCCGGTGATCGCCGTGGCTGTGAGTCGGCGTAACAGCCGCTCTCGCGAAGACCATCACGCACGTCGCTGTCGTCTTGACTTGTGTGGTGGTCCGCTGAATCTTCGAGTGCAACGCCCACCTCTGTCCCCCCACTGGGAGAGCGTAATTCCCTTGGAAGGACTTTGGCAGGCCCCTGCCCACGACAGACCTCCTCCTTGGATCGCTTGCTCACCTGTCTGTCGGAGGTTGCATGTGTGGCTCCTCCATCGTTGGACGATGACGAGGAAGAGGAGGTCGAGCTGGGTGCTGGACTTGCCAGAATGGGGCGATACCAGAAGAGGTGCACCCCGTCGCGCGGCTGTGCGACGGGTCGTATGCCATTCACGTCTGCCGCGGCAGCTAGCACAGGTGCGGCCGCCGCGTCCTCCGTGCCTTCCTCTTTCACAGCGGGCTTCCACAGCTGCTGCTGCTGCTGTTGGCGGAGCCGCGCCATCGAGGTGTGGCGAGACGGAAACTTCGGCTTCGCAGACGACGGCGGGTGTACGGACACGGCGTAGCTGGTGTCCTCGGGAAGGTGTTTCGACTGTGTGACGGCTGCTGTCGCCTCCGTCCTATCATCCTCATTCGCAGTGACCTCTATCGCCTTTACTCCCTCTTCTGTTCGCGCGGCGTCGGCACTGGTGACCTCCGTCAACGCAGTGGTGGGCTGCTCGTTGTGCGAGAGGGTAGCACTTTGAAGTACGGTGCGGAGGGGCGGATACGGAGTTGCCGCAGTCGTCTCGGCTTTGGCACCACACGACGGAGCATCTGGTTCCATGGCAGCTACGTGTGCTTCTATGTTCCCATCGCCGTTCATACCGCGCATTGCTTGGTGTTTTTCCTTGGCGGAGGAGGAGGAAGAAGAGGTGCTGCGTGGCTCCTTCGCTCGCTTCCTTATCTTCGCTTTCCGTACCTGTTCATCGTGTTTGTTTACCGCGGTATCGCACGGAATGGATGTGTTGACCGGAAACGGGGCGAGAACTCTGCGAGGACCCGCCACGGAGAGTTCGTCCATTTTATTTTCGGGGTTGTTGTTGTCTTCAAGCAAGGCCCGATCTTCTTGAGAGGTTTCATTATTATTATTATTATTTAGCGGATCAGAATGAAACGAGAGAGGGAGAGAGAAAAGGAGAAGGATGATCTGAAATTAAACAAACAAAAAACGGACTTGCAGCGCCACGTCAAGCGCTCTTTTACTCCTTATTTCCGAAGGCTTCCACTCGGCGAGTGTGTCTCGGTCAAACTCATATGCTTCTCCGCGAAGTCCCTGCCGAGCAGCTGCATTGAAAGAGAAAAACAATGTGTCTGCGTGCCATGAGCACAAGTATCTGCAATAAAGCTTCTTCCTTTCGTTCTTCTTTGAAAGCCGTGTAGCAATAGGAAGGCACTCAGCCAGATATGTATTGAGTGGGTGAGTGAGTGAGAGAGAGAGAGAGTTAAATACAGAGGAGTTCGTCTACGAGAAACGCAACACGTAGAAGGGCAGGTTCGCAGCAACAAAGACCTTTCCCTCCTGCGTCCTGCCTCGCTCTTCTAGGTCACCCCGTGATCAAGCCGTTTCAGCGTCTCCCACTCCGCGTCCGAGTACCCGTGCAGCAGCAGCCGCTTCACCCGCAGGAGCATCTCCTCCTCCGTCTCCGCGCCGTCTCCTGTCACCTCCGCTCCCGAAAGCGCCGCAGCAGAGGTGGCAGCAAAATGTCGCGCATGTTCTTTGAGGCGTCTGGCCAGCATTCGAAGCAGCGCCTTGTCTTGTGGCTCGAGCGCCGTGGTGTTGTCCTCGTCCCCCATCCCCTCCTCCTCTTCACCCTCTGCCTCATCTGCGCTCGCTGCCCAGCGACCCAGCCGAGGCTGCTGCTGATGCGAGTACGTCACCAACTCTCCGTCCAACGCATTCACTTCGCTCGACTCTTCGGCCCTATTATGATTCCCATTCTTCGCAGTGTCCGTGGTTACTGTTGGGCAGGGGTTACTCGGTAGGAGTCGCGGCAGAAGCGACACCGGCTCTGCGTCGTCCGCCGCTGTCGCTGCCGTCGCCGTCACGTGCGGGGCGTCGCGGTGATGTACGAGCTGACTCGCCTCCCCGACCGAGTACACGCAGAGCTCATCGACGCTGACACACACGCACGACACCGTGCGGCCGATGGCGCCGCGCAGCAGATCTGCGTTGACCCTCGCCCTCA